GNTGTGTGTGAGTGGGTAAGAGAGTGGTTGGAAGGAGTGAGTATATAGGCAGAGAGAAACCTGAGAGCGGCCATGCCATTGTAGTTTCTTACGACGGTTTCAACCGCTGGTTTTAGCCGTATTTCCACAAAAGTGGAACTCAAAGGCCGTTCTCCATGAAACTCAAGGAGCAGGTCTCGTGGAACTGATCAATCACGTTGGTCGATTGGCTGATTTGACTCTGCAATTGGTCAATTCCACGAGATCTGATACTTGCGTTTAATGTAGAACGGCCTTTGAGTTCCACTTTTGTGGAAATACGGCTAAAACCAGCGGCTGAAACCGTCGTAAAAAATTACAATAGAATGGCATATATATGTAATACTCCTATATTGCTAGTACGGTTCCGACCTGAAGCTCACCGTTACGGTGCAGACAATATAGTAGCCTCTCTCTCCAGCTGCTTTGTGCGCATGCGGTGAACATTCAAGCACGTTTGGGCATTTCTCTTTCTCGCGTTCTTTCCAATGCTTTGTTTCGCTCGCACTCACTTGGTAGATGCGCCTGCGCATAATGACGCTCGACCATCTATGCCCATATTTGGACTTCGTGCGTCTCCCTTTCTCGGGCCTCGTGCCTCTCATTGCGAAGATACGCGACTAGCAATATAGGAGTATTACATATATGTAGGATGGCCGCTCTCAGATTTCTCTCTGATATAGGTGGTGGTGAGCGCAGCGCGATGAGGGTGTCAGGGGGTCGTAACTCCCTTTAATTTTTGGGGACGTAAGTCGAGTTTGACGGTACAGCCGTAGATCGCAGCACTGTCGGCCGCCATGTTGGAACGAGTGCTCAACTGTTGGCAACTGTAGACAATTGTAGCCAACTAGCTAAGGCCTGGTTTATGCGAGCAATAACTGTTAACTTATGCCGGAACCGGTAAAGTTTAACTATATGATTTTAATACTTCTGTTCATACGAAATTGCCGAATGCGTATAAACAGAAGTATTGGAATCTTATAGTTAAACTTTATTGGTTCCGGCATAAGTTAACAGTTATTGCCCGCATAAACCAGGCCTAAGATGTTGTGTTGTGTACACAACGCGTCACTGGTCTAGTTTCCACCGAAGCATTAATTCACACCTAATGCGACGTAGAATCAGATTTAAGTCGATGGAAACCTGTCAAATTGCGTTGATTTCGCTTCCGCTTCGATCTATAAGGGTACGATTCCATGCACTGTTATTTTTTGCGTAACGCGTAACGCGTAACCAATCAGAAAGATTACGTGCTTTATGTTAGTACACGTAATTTCTCTGATTGGTTACGCATTACGCGTTACGCGAAAAATAACAGTGCATGGGATCGTACCCTAAGGGCGATGTCCCATTGAGCGGAAATCTATAGCGGAACGGAATGTGCGGAACCAGCTCGACCAATCGTAACCACAGAAAAAGCGAAGGAAAGAAAACGGAATGGCTGTGATTGGTCGAGCTGGTTCCGCACATTCCGTTCCGCTATATATTTCCGCTCAATGAGACATCGCCCTAAGTACTCTACTTCCAATGGAAACGAAACACTAAATTTAATCCGTACCGGAGTGAAACCGAATTGAGGGTTTCGGTGGAAACTAGACCACTGAATCGCGGAATTGGCGCGGCGATCGTAGGGCAAGCGGGGCGGTTGCTCGTAGCGCCAACGAGCGCCGTGCGAACTAACTAGTAGCAATCGGTTGTCCACAACTACGTCGTGTCGATAATGTAACTGCTCTTTCTTCCTATTTTCTTCTCAAAACGTAAGACTATTGGCCATTTACTTAATATTTAACGTTGACAAATAACATGTGTATATATATATATATGTGTTTAATAGATGGATCTATTAAACACATTAATGTCTACGGTAAAAATGGAAGGAACGTATATTGTAAAAGTCTCGTTTAAAAAAAATATATGTATATTGAATATTAATATTTATATGTAACCACTAAATAAATATAATTCTATTATATTATTATTTTATTCTATTATATCTATATATTATTGTGTATACAATTAAATATATGTAAAAATCAAAACATTAAAAAATGAATAGGGCAAACCGTACATAAATAAAATGAAAAAGATATAACAAATAAATATATTATAACAAAGTGATATATGCCAACTGTTGAACGTATTCAGAGAAACACTCACAGACACAAAAATCATACAGAAGAAATTAATTATATATATATATATATAATATATTAATTATATATATATTATATATATACTATATAATATATAATATATATAATAATACGTTCAACACAGTTGGCATATCAATTTGTTATATTATATTTATTTGTTATATCTTTTTCATTTTATTTATGTACGGTTTGCCGCTACTTTTAGCGCCGGGTTCCACTTTGCGTGGAACTCGCGAACTACGAAACGAGTTTCACTTTTAGGCGCATACGATAAAAATGTATCTCGGTTAGAGTCTGTGCTAAATTCACTTTCATTCGGTTTGAATCCGTGCTACATCCACTTTACTGTCGATAAGTAGAACTGCTAACCATAGAGAGCATCGGTGAAGGAGGCACGCACACAAACAAAACCGTGTCCGTGTCGTGACGTCCAACGACATGAATGAAAGTGGATCTAGCACGGACTCTAACCGAGATACATTTTTATCGTATGCGCCTGAAAGTGGAACTCGTTTCGTAGTTCGCGAGTTCCACGCAAAGTGGAACCCGGTGCTGAAAGTAGCGGCTGGAAACCGTCGTAAAAAACAACAATGGCATGGCCGCTCTCAGTCTTTTCTCTGGTACTTCTTATGCGCGCATTGAGTGAAACGGAACGATTCTTTATGTAGTCTATACGCATTATGCATGCAACGGAACGCACCCTTGTTTGAACAAAATGTTGGAGGGACTTGTAGCTTGGGTGCTGAATAATTATCTCGGCAAATATGTGGAAAATCTAAACACAGATCAGTTGAGCATTGCCTTGTTGTCAGGTAAAGTTACACTGTTGTACATTTTCTAATTATTTCTTATGTATGCATGTGTGTTTATTTGTTCTGTTAACACATACAATACAAATTCGATACATGTATATGGACTATTAATTTTGTGTAAGTGTTCTATTATATTTTTATATGCTAGTTTTATGATCATCGTCACTTTATTAGGGGAAGTTGAGCTAGAAAACTTACCCTTGAAACGGGAAGCTTTGCGTCATATTGGTTTACCAGTAGAAATTAAAGCTGGATTTATCGGCAAAGTAAGGTTACAAGTACCGGTTAGACAAATAAGAACAGCATCCTGGGTGATAGGTATAGAACAACTATATCTAGTAGCTGGGCCAATTAATTTGAATGAGGTAAATTATTATATAAAATATATGATATTTCAGCATAATATTGAAAAAAATAATAAGTTAATATAGAAAATGAAGTATATATTTTGTTTATAACACATTTTGTATATAGTACGATAATGAAGCTGAAGAACAAGCAATACTGGACTACAAACTTAGTCGATTGGATGCCTTAGAAGCTAGATGGAGAGCTAATATGGAACATGATTCTGGGTATTACGCTTCAAGTTACAGTTCATGGTTGAATTATGGTACTTCTCTTGTAACAAACATTATTGAAAATCTTCAGTTGAACATTAAAGATGTTCACATCAGACACGAAGATGATGTTACTTTACCAGATGGTAAACAGTTTTGTTTTACACTTATATAGTAGAAAAAATATATGTGTATATTAACAACGTTGTTAAAATTTTACAATTCTGTTTTACAGACAATGCTGTTGCGTTTGGTATCAAAATTGGAGCATTAACTGCTCAAAGTTGCGATGCTAGTTGGATACCCGGTTCTACATCTTGGAATTTAACAGATGCATCTTTTAAACTAATGGAACTTGATAGTCTTTCTATTTATTGGGACCACGTGAAGAAAGATCAACTTTTCGGAGGTCTTAATCTAGGTGATCTAGCTGTAAGTTCAAATATTGAGAGTGTGTATGTAATAAGTTTATTTTCATAATTTTATTATGAAAGAGACTGAATTTTAGATTGCCATGAGTGACTCTAAAAATGTGCTGAAACAGCATATTTTATTACCAGTAAATGCGAGGGCTCACATTAAGAGAGATCGAACCGAACGTCCTCTAAGATCTATTACTAAGCCACGTATTGTAATAGATTTGCTCTTGGATGAAGTACCGTTGTCTATAACGGACGTGAGTATAATTAATTAACAATCAAACATATAGGGAGAGTAATAATATGAATATATTTATACAATGCAACAAGTTGCTGTTTTCTAGGTTCAGTACGAAGAGATGGTTAAATGTATCAAAGAACTCGAACGTATAGATCGTCGTAAACAACAGTGGCGTTGTAGACCAACGTTACCTATTAAAGAGGGATATAAGGAATGGTGGAGGTATGCTGCTAGATGTCATCTTGGCAGAGATACGCTTAAACTTAAACTATCTTGGGAAGACATGCTTCTCAAAGCCAGAGAGAACGTTTGTTACGTACAAGTGTACGCTAAATTGTTAGGTACAAAAACACATCAATTATATTTGCAGACTTTTATCTCTCGCAATAAAAGACTCGCGAAAGTTTAACGCGGATATCCCTTAAATGTTTATTGCGTTTTTTTATTGTAGGTACACCTACGTCGATTTTACCTCCTGAAACTAAGATGTTGAAAGAGAAGGTCGAATACGAGAGGAGTTTCGAGCAACTCCGAGTTTTACGAGAACTGGCTATGCACAAGGTAAAACCCGTGAGATCGCAGCGAGAATCTAACGGAGAAGTACCGCAGGGACGCGGCATGCTCGAGCACTGGTTCCCGCAGTGGTGGGGCTGGTACTCGAAGACGTCTCACAGCAACAACGAAGCAACACCAAACGGAGGTAGTTCGACCACTTTTGACGGCGAGTTACTAGACGTTCTAGCGGATACCGTAGACGATGACACCTTACTGCGTCGCGATATGGTATTTGGACAATTCAATTTCGCTTTGGTGCAAGGCGCGATATCGCTGTGTACCGCGAAAAACGGCAACAATACCAAGACTGTGATAGAGCTGAAATTTGAGAGAGTGAACTTATGTTACGAATCACGACCGAGATCCGGATCTCACAAGTTCTCAATCAGTTTGGGCGCGTTGTATCTGCACGATTTTCTCACTGAGAACTCTACGTTTCCTATTTTAGTACAGCCGCAAGTCGCAGTGAACAGCTCGTCCTCGCGCATTCGTAATTCATCCGAGAAATTGACGAAGCAGATATCGTGTCATTTGTTCGAATTAATTTACGAGAAGAGACCGCTACATATTAACGCGGATCACCTGTTGCACGTGTACTCGCAATCTCTGGATGTCGTGTATAATCCGTCTGTGATATATTGGTTGATAGACTTCATGTGTAAGCCGCACCGATCAGTGTCATCCAATCAGCAACTGCAGGCAATGAAACGTCGTACGAGAAAGCAACTGATCAAAAACTGGGAGCAAATTCTCGACAGTGACTTTGTGTATCGTTCTTCGTGGGATTTACAATTCAAGATATCCGCGCCACAAATTTTACTGGTCGAAAACTTCGTTGATTCTAACGCTGCTGTGGTGGTAGTCGACTTTGGCAAATTACACCTGTTGAACGACGCGAATCTTAATCAGGTACCTCTGAAGTCGGAAATGATTAACGGCGAAGAGGGTGAAAAAGAAGACGAAGAGGATGAAGACGAAGAAGATGAGAGATACGAGACACCTTGCTCGACTCCGCCTGGAAGTCAGGAGAATGGTTCCCTCCACGATTTCCAAGGTTTATCCGAAACAGAATTACACAAGAAATTGTACGACCAATATTCAATCGATCTGGTGGACTTGCAGATTTTAGTGGGAAAGGTGAAAGACAACTGGAAACATGTTCGCACGAGAGGCATGTCAACTTTGCACTTTCTCGAGCGTTTCAACATTTCGTTGCAAGTAGAACGACGAGTATTCACCACTTCTGATCCTAACTTTCCGTCGGTCACAGTATCCGGTAACTTGCCGAGACTAGTAGTACACGTAAATGAGCAGAAAGTAGGTGCGATACGTTTGATGTACAATTTACTGTCAAGCTTTTCCAAATCTGCCGGTATTCCTCCGCAAACGGAAATTATTAATCTGAAAGAACCTGAAAGTCCCAGGAAAGAAGAAAATCTAGATCGTTCATTGAGTCATGCGGTGATGGTACAATTTATCATCGATCGGATGACCTTTGAATTGCAATCGAGAGGTCGCAGCGTCGCGGAATTGCAAGTGTCTGGCGTTCGGGCAGCTCTTAGCAAGAGAATGACAGATTTGAGTGTCTCTCTGTCTGTCCACGGACTTCTTCTGGTTGACGCTCTTCAAGAATTCGGACCAGATTTCGAGCTATTGGTGGCCAGTCACAAGCACGTCGGAATGGATAGCATTTCTGGCAGTTTAAGAGACTCCGAACCTACATCGCCTGTCTCGCCTGAGTCACCAGAATCGCCGGACTTGACGAAACCACCGCGATTGACTTCGCCTATCGCTCTGACAAACGCACTGTCCAATTTGGCAAATAAAACCAAAAGCCCGTATTCGCCTAGAAACAATTCGTTGATAGATTTGGAGAAGTTGGACTCAGAGGCGTTGATTGTTGTGGAGTTGACACTAGTCGACGATCCTATAGAGAATCTGAGAATGGCGAACATACAATTCAACAATCTCGACATCATAGCCAATCAAGAGACAATAGTTGAGTTGCTGGGTTTTTTTCAGAGGATCTTGCCGTTGCACAAGTCGAGGTCGAGAGCATATATCGCGGGTCGGGATGATTCCATCTCGAGTCAAAATATGGAGACGAAATCGGCATCGACAAGAACAGAGATTATTTTCGATTTTCATCGGTTGAACGTGCTGCTCTTGCGCGCGATCGTGCAGGATAATCACTTGGTAGGACAGAAGATCGCCACCGCAACCATGTCGGATGCGCGCATACAGGCGACTTTGGCTGCGAACACGTCGATCTCAGGCTCTCTCGGTGGGGTGCAAGTTCTCGATCAGACGTCGATCGGAAAGACTCATCAGCGAATAATCAGCGTAGGTAGGGATCCGTTGGCGGATCCTCCTTCGCACCATCCTCTCGAGCACTTCGCCGTTGGTCTGACCGATCAACAGCCAGAAGCGTTCAGATTCATGGTGAACCGAAACACCAGACAAACTAGTGAGGAGGACTGTGCGGAGATCGATCTCGATCTCACGATACATGTTGCCAGTGTCTGGTACACCCACGCGCCACACCTTATATCAGAGTTGCGCTCGTGTGCCGATGAATTCAAACAATATCTGAGCAACTTTGCGCGTCAGATCAGCGCGGCTGCCACCGATATGGCGATCGGTTTAGTGAATGCCGACGATTGGACAATTCCACCACGTAAACGTCTACCGAGCATCTCCACGATTGATCTTGACAACGCAACAAACATATCATTAAAATTAGACGTACTTCTGGAAAGTCCTGTGCTTGTGATACCGCGTTCGTCGCACAGCAGACAGGTGTTCGTGGCCCATTTGGGCACGATGTCGTTGCGACACGAGCCGCATCTAGGATCCATGTCAAAACACAAGGTTACGTTGGAAGTGCGCGATATGAATCTTTATTCCCTCGAGATATCCGCCACTGTCGGTCAATCTCAGAATAATCTACCTATGAGGGCTGAAGAAATGTATTCGTGTAAGGAGTCTGGGAAGCCGATATTGCACGACACAACACTCAAAATCCTCGTGGAGAAGCAGAGCATGTTAACGCAGAGCATGAACTTTCTGCTGGACGATTCCTGCGGCGAATTTACGAGCAATAGTCCGATTGTACAGGTGCACGGGGCTGTGATAACGCCACTGAAGGTATCTTTATCACGCGGTCAGTACGAACAACTGCTCGACACGACTAATCGCTTGTTCTCCATGCCCACCGTAACCACCGCCGCTGCCGTCGTCCCGGAATACGATCAAGTTGACGGAATATCCGACTATTCGGAAAAGCTCGATCTCTGCGTGAAAGTCTCTTTCGAGTTGCCAACCCTCAGTGTGATGCTGAAACAAGCGCATTTGGAACAATCTCTGGTGGAGCTGTCGATGCGTGACTTCGTCGTCAAGTACGAAAAACTACAGAGAAACGAATCAAATGTGCAGGTCGCGTTGCGTTCCCTCTTAATGGAAGATCTTCTGTGTCCGGTCGACTCGCGACATCGTTACATGATGCGATCGTCGGCGCCCGCACGTGCCAAATTGCCTACCGGGGTTTCGAAATCGTGTCCGGATCTTGTTTTCGCGCGCCAGTACAAGACCATCTACAGTCGCGGCAGCTTACCAGATCGTTTAGAAACTGCTACTCTGTACGGCGCGATCCCGGCACACTGGCGCAGAAAACCGACGATCTCGTCGGCCGACACACCGAACACGCCGCCACCATCGCCAGGTGGTATCAATAGCGAAGAAAACTTGGTGCTAATGAACATTACCATGACAGAGCCCGAAGAGAAATGCGTTCTTCCGGAAGATCGATTCTATCGTAAAATGGTAACCGTAGACTTCAACTGCCTGGATTTAGTGATAAGCGTGGAATCGTGGATGGTAGTATTTGACTTTTTTGGGATTGCAGGCTTGTCCGGAGCGACAAATAGCGAAGTTACCGCGCATCGAGCCACACCTGATAGCGATCGCACCGGCGCGAGCAAGATAGATGAAAACAATTTGCCAGTGCGATCGGAAACCGAGATAGATGTGAGATCGCTAACATTGGTGTTGACGCAGCAGGAGCGCGAGATAGCGAAAGCCAATGTGTCCAACGCCAGCATGCACATCCTTAAAGGAGAGAACGGCAAGACTAAAGTGTCGGGATCGTTGGGTTCGATGTCGTTACTGGATCTGACGCCACACGGCCGATTTTATCGCGAGAGATTTCTGTCGTCCGGCAGGAAGGCGCTCAACTTTCAGTATTCGAGCTATATCGATTACGAGGACCGACCATACGACGCACGACTCAAACTCGAGATGTCCGCCGTGCATTATGTTCACACGCAGAGATTTGTGGCAGAATTACAAATGTTCTTCGGCCATTTTTCGCAACTTTGGAGCATCATGCGAAATCTACGGGCCGGCGCTGGCGCCGTTATAGACATGAACAAGCGCAGCACGCGATTATCGCTTGAACTGCACGCCGGCGCGCCGGTGATATTACTGCCAGTAAGTTCCAGATCTGACCAACTGATCCTGTTAGATCTGGGAGAGCTCACAGCGCACAACAGATTCGACACATCGACGATTGTTCCAGACTGCTTATTGGATGTAATGCTGCTCGAACTGGTCAATATGGACGTATACGCAGCGCAGCGACTAAACTGTAGCGACTCATCGAGACAAAACGTGGACGAAGATGCTTTGATAGTTGGCGGTTTTCTAATCAAGAAAATGGGTTCTTCGTTGCTCACAGAAAAGTGTCATTTGAAGTTGCGCATAGAACGGAATCTTGATACCTATATCAGCCGCGACATACCTGATCTAAGCGTGCACGGAATATTATCGACGATGGACTGTGCTCTGGACCCGGCACAATACATGTTGATTCGCGGTCTTCTTTCCTACAACATCGGCGAGAATTTGGACGATTTGCGTCTGTTTGCGCAGAACTTGAATCAAACAGTGGAATACGCGATCCCGGTGGACAATCGTTCAAATATATGGACTCGATCCTGCATAACTCTCGAGTTAGTGAACGTCACGGTTAAGTTACATCCGAGTCACAATATCGCAGCACTGGCGTGCATAAATTTCATTAAGTCACGACTTACGTTGGATTCGCTAAGCGACGGCTCGCAAGACATCGATCTGGTGTCGCAAGAAATTTTGGTCACTGACACGCGTTTCCAACACGAGCCGGCCAATCGTCGGTGTAACGTATTCACGCAAATTTTACAGCCGTTGAGAAACTCGATTGATCCTACTCAAGTTGGCACTGCGAAGGATCGTGTTCAGGCCGAAGTGCATCACCGAAAGCGCAAGTCTTATGCAGCGACCACAATCCTGCTGCATAGCATGCGACTGACCGCTATTCTGGACTGGTGGGAAGCTGTGCGAGACTTCCTGCTACTAAATTCTCCGGAACCGGAACCTATACTTGGCGCCATGCAGCTGTCACTTGTCAATCAAGAGTTCGAAACCATTGAAGATGCCATCGCTGCTCCCACTGTCGTTGCCGAGACCACCGCTGTAACCGCCGCATCTGCTGTACCGTTTGAACTTAAGATTAATATTACAGATTCTGAACTTGTCATCGTTGAGGACACTTCGATTCTCGACACCAATGCTGTGATTCTCAAGTCCACTGCTGTTCTGTCATATCGTTCGACGCCGCAAGACGGCGAGAAACCTCTCTCTTGCAATCTCTCACACTGCGAAGTGTTCTCGTGTGTCTTGGGTCTGGAGGACGACACCGCCTTGTCGATTATTGATCCTTTCGGAGCAAGCTTGGATCTAACTCGAGACAAATGTATGGAGATCCAACTGCAATCATTATGTGTGAGACTGAGTTACCACGACGTGACTATGTTTTCTAGAATGTTAAGTTCGCTTCCCAAGCAAACCTTATGGGCTAAACAAAGATCGAGCGAAGCAGTGACAGCAACAAAAGACAATATGATAAACAGCCAGGTGTCAAAATTAATCAGTTTGGGTTTTGCCGAAGCTGATTGTAGAATTGCATTGAGCCGTTGCAACGGCCAGTTAGATGACGCCGCTCTTTGGCTGACGCAGAACGCAGAGCCGACAAGTTTTGAGACAGCTGTGGCGAGTAACGAGTCTATGTTTCGCGTTGTGGAATTGCAAGCGTCCTGCATAAGGATCTGTATTATCGATGACTGTCGCGATGCGGATGTACCGTTGTTAGAAATTACGCTAGCGGACTTTAGCATGGAAAAGATGACTCAACAGCCTGGTTTGTTGTCGGCCACTTTCAGCGTGGATTACTATAATCGAGTATTGAGCGGTTGGGAACCATTTATTGAACCTTGGCAAGCAAACATACGTTGGGAGCAAATGCTCACCAGCTCGCTCGACCCAAAAAGACTGCACTTGTCGATTGATTCTAACGATTCCGTGAATGTCAATGTAACTCTGACATTAGTGGAATTGGTGCAAATGGTTAAATACAACTGGATGCAGGATTATTATTTATCCAACGGAGGTATAACCACTGGCAAATCGTCAACAAAAGGACAGGTATATCGACGCCGATCACCTTTTATACCTTTCGCCCTGAAGAACGACACCGGCTGTAAACTCTGGTTTAAAACGTTTATTGCTACTGCGGATGACACGATAGACAGCGCCGGCAAAACATCGTTTCGGGAAATGAACGTCTCACGCATAGATAACACATGGATAGAAGTAGAGCCGGGAATTACTACGACGTTCACGTTCGAAGAAAGAGGCAAGCTGAGACATCACGCGACACATATTGTCAGGAGGCATCAGATCGCGGTTCTGGTTGAGGGGTGGAAACCGATGGATCCTGTAACTGTCGATCGCGTAGGCATTTACTTTCGACATGCAACCGCTGACATTGCCGGATCTCGAGTATGTAGCAATTCTTTCATTTTATTATATATTTTTATTTATATTCTCTTGTTATAAATTATACACATTTGTTTCAAAATAATAAACTAGTAAAATAATATTAAGTTTCAGAAAGCTAGAGTCGTATTCGCTGTAGAGCTGGAAGGATCCGCCAGAAAGTTAGTTACCGTTAGATCAGCCCTTCAAGTGTCCAACAAACTAGCTCATCCGATTGAAATAAGAATGGAGAAATCATTAAATCAACTGGAATGTCAGTTTCTTTAATTTTATCAAAATTGTTTTCTTCGTCATGTCATCATCGAATAATTAATATGTTCTTTCAGATTTACCGTCGATTTCAACTTCCGTCGGAAGAATTCTGAAAGTGCCAGCGCAGTCGGTGATGTCTGTTCCTCTGACGCATACCGGAGTGCAGATGTGCTTCAAACCAGTTATTTCAAATTATGCTTTTCAATATTGCATGGAGTCGGTAGATTGGACAGTAGTTAAGAAGCCTTTGGAAGTGACGGAAGATTACATTACTTGTCGGACTAATCAAAATAACACATTTAGGTAAATTGTTTGAAATTTTCTTTCAATGTGATCAAACAACTTGTTGACACTGTTCTTTCTTCACAGAATGTGCGTGGCAATAAGACGGAACAATTATCCTCTCGATTGCATGCAAATATTTCCGGCACATATGATTACAGTAATGGCTCCTGTAACATTGACAAATTTATTACCACACGAATTGACATATGATACGGATACGGAGGGCGGCAGAATTGCACCCGGCTGCAGTGCGGATTTGCACTGCGTTGATTTGAACGAACAATTGGAAATTACGATTCAATTGGACTATTATCCAGGAGCTGGAACGGTACATTAAATAGTATACAATCTTATTACAGATATTTTACATTAAGCTAACTATATGTCTCGTAATACCAGCTAAAAATACGTAATATTTCAGATAATATTGCCACCGAACAGCTCTTCTTTTACTGCCCGCGTTAAACTACTCGATTCCGCCAGCAGAATACTCTATCTACAAGCAGCTATGATCGTAGAAAAGGGTTCAGCTGTACAGATAAATATTACCGCACCTTATTGGATAGTAAACAAGACTGGTTTGCCGTTAGTATTCAGACAAGAAGGAGTCGGTATCGAGGCAGCTGGACAATTCGAGGAGCATGAAAGAGCAAGAATGTTTGCACCGTTGCTATTTTCATTCAGCGACGAGGAGGCCAGTAGAACTTTGTCGGTGAGAGTCGGCACTGAAGTACATCCTTACGGCATACCGCAGTGGTCTCAACACTTTCATCTGCAGCCTGGAATTCATGTAAGTATACCAGGTAAAAAAATAAGATTCTCTTATATGTAGAGATTTGCTGCTGAATAAAAAATAATTGGAACGCCTTAACTATTTTGACATCGTACACGCAATATAATATTTCAATACGTCGTAGGTTCATCGTCTGAGAATCAGTCTGCGCGATGGTAGACCTGATAAAGTCTACTTAATTAGCGTAGCTACTCGCACAGCAAGAGGAAGATACAGAGCTACTACAGTAGTTACGCTATCGCCGAGGTACCAATTACACAACAAGTCGTCGTATACATTAGAGCTGGCGCAAAAATGTTTCACAACAACTGTCGTAAGTTTGATGTCAATTTCGAAAAAATATCAAGAAAAAATTCGTTATTCTTCAATGTGGAATGTGAATTTCAGTCAAATCCGGATGCTCAAGCAACGTATATAACGATCACGCCCGATTGTCACATGCCCTTTCATTGGCCACGACTGGATAAGGATCTGTTGCTCTGCGTTAGGATCACCAACGTTTCTGATTGCATGTGGTCAGGAGGGATTAGACTAGATGACAATTACTCGTTAACTATTAACATTAGAGACATAAAGGGAAAAATGCATTTTCTAAGAGTAGATGTAGTGCTGCAAGAGACCACTTATTTCATTGTATTCACTGACGCCGACACTATGCCACCACCTATAAGAGTAGACAATTTCTCGGAAGTTCCCTTACTTGTTAATCAGGTTAATATCTATATTCATTTGATGTGTGAATGTTGCGCTTATATATTTTTTTTAGACACATTGATATTTATAATTTAATATTGTTTTCTGTATTTTATAGTGAATTGATAAATATTTTTGTAAAAAATGTCATTACAATTGCAAATTTGTACATGTAGATTGAAGTTGTCGATAGTCTACAATGGACCGTAAGACCACATTCGTCAGTACCATACGCCTTGGATGAACCAATACAAACTGCTGGTTTAGTGCTAACAGCACCTGGTGGTGTGACAGCTTCTTACGATTTAAATGCCCTTGGAGAAGGCAGAGGATTGACTTATGAAAATTTTATTTACATTGCGCTTACAGGTAATTCATTTTGCATATAAATAAAACTGAAAGATTATTTTGCAACTTTTTGTATGTGTGTTTTTGAAGATGAATCAATTTGTTGAAGATAAACTTTTTTTCTGATTTTATTTCGATAGGTACTTTTAAAACTGATTCCGATCTCGAGACAGGCGAGAATGATCTGGATCCATTGGATGTAGAAACTCAGAGATTAGTCTTGGAAGCTAACGCCAACGGTTCAGTCATTCTTCGAAGAAAACAATACGGCGATAGATCGCAACTTTGGAGAATGACTAGCGATGGGCAATTGCAGCATGAAGGTAATAAAACAAAAGAAAACATCAAAACGGACATATCGACTCTTACTATAATATTATTTAAATTGTTTCAATTTAATGATAATATAACGATCCTCTCTCTCTCTCTCTTACGTTCACATTTGCACAATTCTAATGAAGTTCTCACTGATTCTAATGACAGGTTCTAGTCCACCGAGAGACAAACATTCTAGAGCTTTAGACACGATATACGTTTTGGACATAGCAGGCACCGCACCGCAACCGTTCACGTATTGCGCTCTAGCCTTGAAGAAACCCGATCCTAGACGAAAATCGACACAAACCTGGCGATTCACCGACGACGGACGCCTATGCTGCGCGCATAAGAATATGTGTGTTCAGTCGAAAGACGGCTTTATGGGATTATATGAAGGTTGGAACTTTGCTTTCACTTGCACGCATTCACGGCGCTGCTGATTCGCTTAGTGGTTAGATCAGAATAATCACGTTATGGATTTTTTTCGTCATTTCATATATTTTATCGTTCACAATTGTTTTATATTGCTTCAGATTGGTTCAAAATTACATATAAAATATATATTTGCTAACTATTGTTTTGAATGCGTGTTGTGACAAATTTATAATGCTTTTGTTTTTAAATATAGTAGTAGTAAGATGAGTGCGTACGATAAGGACGTATTCATTTTATACTACTCTTATAATTCATCTTTTAGTTGACATTAAATATTTCTTTGAGGAATTAATATTATATAATGTCAAACTTTGCGGTGATAATTTATAAGATTAATGATCTATCGATACAAAACTTCTCCTACAACATCTTTGTATATTTTCTCTTTTTCTCTTTTACAATTTAAATCTATACCGAGTTGTTTGTGTAATTTGTGTATCTTTTTTAAGATCGTTTTATATTTTATGTCATTATTTCTTTCTTATCGCACTCGAATTTTGACTAGAAAGATCTAAATGAATCATGAAATGTTGCAGGCGGCAGTGTCGCCCGTTGGCAAATGTGTACGTATAGTTTCTGAGTACACATTAAAAAATCGACGATTTTATAAGAAAGCTTATCCATAATAAGCGAGTTTTTAAATTCATTAATTTTTCAATCGCATTATGCGTAACGAGTTGATGAATTAAAAACCTCATCCTAAATACATCGCGTGCTATGATGTGCTTTTTTGTCTTTTTTTCTTTTTTTTTCTTTCTTTGTATAAACGCTTCTGCTTTGCATATCTTTTTGGGAATAACAGCGTGAAATATAAAAAAACAGATTTTTCTTAACCAAAACAATTTGTCAATATTATCGCATTTTGACGTATCATGCTTTTGCACTCGCAAGCTTGTCGACTCACGCAACATTATCGTGTATATTTTTGCTTGTAATGAAGAAAATGTTCTTGATTTTTGTAGGGAGCGAAGCTGTATTAGGTCCTCTAACGCCTAGCAATCCACCACCTATCGAACAACGAGTGGGCAGACAAAAGTTGCGGCCAGGATCTGGATTCTTATCGGTTAGAGTGACCACCGACGGACCTACTCGCGTTCTCCAAGTTCTGGACATAAAGGAAAGAGTATGTGTCTCAGCTTTAGTTTAATATTTAACACAATTATGTTTTATTATTTGCTCACAGAGATTCTATTTTACGTATTATTCACATGATTGTGCAAAACGTAGTTCTTAATAAGATATTCAAATTATTGATATGTGTTTCAGAAGAAGATGTTTGCGTTGCTCGAAGAACGCGATTGGTCGCATATCGCCGTGAGTCATCGGCCTACTCAGATCGATGCTGACGTAAAGAAATCAGATTCTAGCGAATTAGATTTGACAGTGAATCTGTCGGCTGGCCTCGGATTGTCTATTGTATCACAAAGACCTGTAGAAGAGTTGTTGTTCGCACGATTAGCTCAAATATCTTTGGATTTATCACAGAATCCGTTAAACGCCACATTGAATTTGAGCATTGGCGATGTGCAAATTGACAATCAATTGTTTGAGGCACAATGCACATCTGTTTTATTTGTAACTCGATCATCCCGCACGGAAGACGAGATACGACCCGCCCTTCAATTAGTGGCAGAAAAACTGCAGTCGAAAAATCAGAATGCCGAGATATACAAACACTTTATAGTAAGCGTGAAACCTTTATGTGTACATTTAGAAGAGAAATTTATATTGAAGCTAGCAGCATTTCTCGGAATTGGTAAGTCAGAGCTGGAAGTGCCGGTCGACGAGAATGATTTTAAGGCGCAAAGAATTATCTCAGAGGTGTCCGCTGCACACGCTAAGAGATATTATTTTGGCACTCTGAAACTCGTTCCTAATCAGGTACGTATATATCAAAATCTGTGGCAAAAGTTTTATGTGTTGCAATAATAATATTACACATTCATTTTGCATAATGTGTAAACTTCTTATTTTTCTGTTTTCTTAGGTAAAGCTTAGCGTGCTCACTACAACAAAGTTACCACAGCATCTGCAAGCTGTAAAAAGAAAATTGGGCCTAACTCTGATCAATTTTGAAAATGCTACTATCGAATTAGAACCGTTCGTTAAAAAACATCCTTTCGAGAGCAGTCAATTTTTGATACACTCCATCGTGAAACACTATAAAGATGTATGATGATGCTTTGAATATGTTAATGTTAACATGTGTTTTTCTGTTATTCATATATATCGATTTTGGTGTTTTAGGAATTAAAATGGCAAGCCGCGGTTATTCTAGGTTCCGTAGATTTTTTGGGAAATCCTCTTGGATTCATGAATGATGTTACAGAAGGCGTTTCCGGTCTTATCTATGAAGGCAGCGTGAAGAGTCTAGTAAAGAATGTGACGCACGGTATTTCGAATTCGGCGGCGAAAGTTACAGAGTCTCTATCCGATGGCTTGGGAAGAGTGATCATGGATGAGAGACATGAAGAAGCTAGACAGAGAATTCGAGCTAACACGACAGGCAGTAGTGATCATTTGGTAGCTGGTTTAAAGGGATTCGGTTTTGGTTTATTAGGCGGTTTTACCAGTATATTCAAACAGACTTATGACGGCGCGTCTAATGAAGGTTTTCCGGTACGTAATAACCTATACTAATGCATATAAAGAGCCTTTTAATATTAGATATATGATCAAGTATTAATATTATTTAATATTATATATATAAATAATTAATTTTTTAGGGTTTTTTCGCGGGTTTTGGAAGAGGAGTAGTAGGCACTATAACGAAACCCGTTGTCGGAGTTTTAGATTTGGCAACGGAAACAGCTACTGCTGTACGAGAAACAAGTAGAAGGTAATATAATTACTTTAGATACGTAGTGATGATATATTAAAAAAAAGAAAAAAGAATGATTGTATCTAACAAGTACTCGTTAAAATTTGGATTTTTCAGCGCCAGTCGCGCCATACCAAAACGTGACCGACCGCCACGTGTTGTCAGTGGTTCTACCGGATTGCTGCCGCCATATAGTCGTCAGCAGGCTGAGGGTCAGGAGTTCCTGTACAGTATTAACAATCGCGATTATTCCGAACTCTTTGTTGCATATGAATGTTTGTGTAGCGGCGCAGAAAATCTCAAAGTGCTTGTGTCGAACGAGAAAGTGCGCATTATTTCAGGCGGCACAAAAGCAGTAGTGACTGAAGTCAGCCTGGCAGATCTTTTATGTTGCCAGCCGATGCAAAAGCTGCAAAGCAATAATATCACGTTGCATTATATAGAATTAGTATCTAGATTCGATTCGTCAGCTGCTGTCAATCTTGACGGAGCTGAATTATACCGACGACCGAAAGTGCGCTGCGACAACGAAGAGGTAGCGAAACGCGTAAGTATAAAAAAAAAAATTTATATAGAGAACATATTTTATTATATAATTTTAAATAAACTATATATTTCTCTTACTAATTATAATCTAATTGCACATATTTCTCTCACGTTGTAATCTTTATTTTTTTTAAACGTCATTACAATCAACTTGTTTTTGTTACAATCATAGGTATCACGACAAATCAATTATGCCAAAGGAATGCATGAAGAACGCAGTTTGACATTATCATCGTCGGATAATATGTTGGATGACGTGCAATATTACAAATAATTGTACAGATAAATTATTTCCGTGATAGTGTCCAGTCTTGTTTCCGACTCGGGGGTTTTCACGGATTAATTCTAGTCAAGTTCCAAATTTCTCTTTTGTAGAAGGCACAGAATCAATAATCGTTGAGTTACGTTTAACATTAGAATTTTGAGATAACGGTTACGCTTGACGTTTTAAGTTTCTAAGAAGACTGATGCACAAAGACCTTGATCGTAACTTGATTCTTCTTGCAATTGTGTACATAGGCAAGCAGAAAGCACAGAAAGTTTTGATACAAAAAAGATAAAATGTAAAAATGTGAGATGTAGACTGCAAATTATAAACACTAGAAATATTTTTTAATAATGTATATATGTATATACAGGGTCTTCCTATAAAAGTACTGCATCGCTAAAACATCTCAAAAACAATCACTAATAATAATAACTATGTAAAAAGTGAAGGTAAGGTTTAAAAAAGTGTTAAGTTTAAAATAATTTATGAGTGATAAGTGCGAATTTGGGTGGATTTTCCAAGATTATGTGACGGTCACGGTAAATATTTTAAACAAAAATTCGTATTTTTCTTACAGCTGACGTTGAGGTGTTTTTAAAATGGTATAACTTAATACGTTTTAGTTAAGAGAACTCGTTGAATTAGAAGTTCTCAAAGTTTGAATACCAGCCAGCACTATCCTGTATATACTTATGTACATACGCATGAGCGCGCAAATATATGTATGTATGTAATGGTTTTTTAATTCCTCGATTTTGCACTTTACAGAAGTTTTGTCTTAAAATCAATCCTTTTAATTAAAAGTGATAGTTTAAAGAAAATTTAATGAGAAATTATGAGTTATCCTACGAGAGTTTTTAAACTCAAAACTACAAATTTTGTTACGCCTTTATAATTTTTAATTACCTATAACACTAAACCGATACATCGGCTTTGAAATACGATTGTAAAATATACCATTCTTCTTCATGATATTATCTCAGTTTCTATAATTACAGAGTAAATTTAAAGATACATGAGATGTACATACATATAAGCTGATATTCATAGTCTGATCTTATATGTTTAAGATTGTCTTACGCTTTATAAAAGAAACTGTTATTGGCTACAATCTTAAGATTACCCTTAAAATGATCGGATTACGAATACCATAGATTAAAGTTGTTCACAACACTTGATATATGTTACGAAAGAATCTACTTAACGCAATATAGAGAGATAATTAAATTAGTGCTTTTATGTGTGGGAGTTAATGAAGCTTATATAGTTTCTTTAAATTTAATAAGTACAGGTATTACATGGGATGTATATTTATTTTCTTTTTGAAAGATTTTTTAATAGCATATTTTTGTTTTAATTATGCACATTGATTTTTATGCACATTATATTTTTTTTTGTTTAGTAGTAATATTTACAGATATAAAAAAGGAACAGACTGTGCTTCAAGCAACGTACAGTAGGGAGCACCATATCGTGCGGCTCCAGGAGAAGTATTTTTCGGGAATTTCTCCTTTGACTGCTTCTACTGTCGCGCGTCGTTCTCCTTCGATCTCTGCCAGCAGCCCGAGATCGAAGGAGAGCAGCGCGCAGTAATAGGAGCAGCTAGAAAAAAAATTTCCGAGAAATACTTCCCCTGGAGCCGCACGATATGGTGTTCCCTACTGTATCTTCTTTGTAAGAAAAAATGCAATAATTTTGCTTAATTTTTATCTCTTTGTTTAGTAAAATACTGATTGCGATCAAAGTAGTGCTGTAAATGTTTTGAAATGTTGTTGTATCTTTATTTTACTAGGAAATAAAATTATATTTATTAGGAAATATAAAAATAAAATAATGTTTTCGAAATATTTATAGCGCTAATTGACCGCAATTAAAATTAAGGAAACGTGAAAAAAAAGGGAGAGAGACACAAATGTGAATGTTATCAAATAGCGTATTTATAAGAAAGAGATAAAATACTCAAGCAATATATAATGTGTTCTTTGCGTAAAATATTATAGATACTATTTGGAAACAATTCAGAATGATAATTCCTGAAAATTCTTATCTATTATCTCAAATTTCGTACATATAGTTTTTTTTTAGATAAAATATCTCAGAATTTTTTTAGTTATTTGAAAACTACAGTAATTTTCTAACACTTTTTGCATTTTTGCTATATGTTTTTTATATTTTTAGTTTTTTAGTTTTTGTGAAATAAGTTTTGGTGAATAAAAATTGTGTATATCTAATATGTACCTGAAAAATTGATGATTAACTTCAATATTTAAATTTAAGTAGTTTTCAAGTTTTTTTTTCTAATTATCTTAACAAAAACTTACTAAACAGTTTATACGAAGGAAGTACGAGTGTTCTATACTAACCACATATATTTATTTGCTCCTAACAAAGTTCTAATTTTGCCTGACGTTTTTAACACAAATGCCTAAACAAAGAGAAATTTGCTTAAGATTAAAAAAGATAATTAATGCCCTATTGTGCACATGTATAAAGCAACGAGGGTAGCGAAGATAATATTTTAATCAAAATTTGATATTCTTTACTATGTACAAAATAAATTTGATTTTTTTTCACATAGGAAATGGAATGTAACAGAAAAACGTGTACATATGTAAAATGTAAATACCTTTTAAGTAACATGTATATATACATATATATTTAAATACTTTTGTAAAGCTGAGTGCTATAACGCAAAAAATGACGTATTTGTATATATCACATGTTGATACCTGTTAAGCAGAGTAATAAATGTTACACATCTATACCATACAGTTTTTGCTTAATGCATCTATGTTCTATGGGTTTGATTTTTGAATATCGCGCGCGCATTCGATATTTCGAGAATCGCAATATCGCGCTTCGATATATTCGGATTGGCGCATAGTTCACGGCCAAGTTGGCCGGGCCAACGAGCGCGAGGTGACCGGAACTACGTTTGAATTGCGCTGTATTTCTCGCGCGCAAATATTGTAAGTCGTAAAGTATCTCGAGCGTTAATTGCGATAGTACATGAGATAAATATCCTGTATCAGAGAAAATAACATGTGAAAAACTCATCGCCGCGTTTTTGGACGGTGATGCACAAAGGGATCACTAACATGTTTACAAGTATTCCCATACGTTTTTAGTTCTACATAAAACAAGTACGTATAACTCAAATATACATTGAGTAAATATGTAATAAATCTTTTTTATATTATGATTCGCGCTTGAATGTTTGAATATGAACGTTTTTATTGCTTTTTCGTTATTATTTTTTACGTTATATTTTCAAAAAGATTTTAAAAAACTAAACAATCAAGTAAGTGTAGTTTATACAATACAAATTCTTGAGAGCAGTGCGTTACGAGATGATGTAAATTGCAAAATTACAAGATCGCGAGAAGGAAGAAAGCAAACGTGCAGATTTTAATTTAACACATTGGAACGAAATGTCGGACAGAAGAAAACGTGCGAGGATCGACGATCGACTATGATGTGCAATTGTTATGTCTGGAACTAGCGAGAATCGTCTCGGGCGAGTCTCACGGATACGGAAAATATTTTCGGATATCCCGTGGAAACGGTATCTCTGGAAACCGTCGATAAAATTTCCCGCGATTTTCGGGATTCGAAAGTGTTGATAAAAAGAAACAATTTGAACGCGGAGCGAATTCTTCGCTGATGTGCCTTACTGTTTTTCAAGAAAATTGTACGTACACGCAAAATGCAATGACACGCACGGAGGCGGACGAATCTCAATGGTCTTACTGTTTTGTCGGCTATCAAGATGCTTTCTGTAAGTTATCAGTTTGGGAAAATCATCTTTGAGACTATATCCTTTCTTCCTTCGTCTCGCTCACAATTTACACGCTTTCAACGCAGTAAAAGCAGACATGTGGTAAAGAATAAAAAATTTGCTCATGTACATTTATAATGTGTACATTTTAAATATATAAAAATGATAAAAACCAGGTATATATATTGTAATGATATATATTATTAATTGTGAAAGTCTTTTTATATAATTTATTTTTTATATAAATTATGTAATAATTTTTTTTTATATATACACACATTATTAATACATTATATACATCATAATTATATATATATTATTTGGAAATAACACAAGTATGCATAATTTTGGACAAAAAAATAGAAAAGTAGGAACAGCTGGTCTTTAATTACGTCATTGGCGCAACTGCGCGCGCAGCGTTTTCTGCGCGCTGCGCAATGGCATCCGAAAGCCGCATTATGACACGCGGGCACGCGTTTCTCATCGTAGGGAGCGATTACCGGAAACTTGTCTTTATCGACTGAATTTTTCAGCCGATAGTGATTTGATCAGAAACACTTGTCAATGCCGATTATTATTACGATTTAACGTTCATATCTCAAACTAATTTTCGCAACGCGTACGCGTTTTTGTGGCGCGAGACATTCGAAATATATATATGTTATATTTCTTAAACACCGTTGCGTTGTAATAACGTAATAAAAAGGTACTTCTCTCATCGCATTGCAAATAAAATCAGTTAAATCGCGTTTTTTTAAGACTTCTTGAAGAGAAAAATAAAAAAATTACTTAATAGCTTAGAGAAAAAAAGCACAATTACATGTATAAAGAAATTGTGTAGAAAGATTATGTTATATTTGCAATAAGATATATTGTATATTTATATATTTCTCAAAAATAATACGCAATATTTGAGAGATATAATATTAATTCACGCACTGAACGCTAAACGATGAAAAATAATTTTTAATTTCATGAATAATAATTTTAACGCGACGGAAAACAATGCCCGCGGTACGACATTTTTATACGCACGGCCCTGATCGTGACGCGGTCAGTGATGCCGTAGTCAAGGCGACCGTAGCAGCAGACAAGCAACACTACTCCGGCCAGCCGTCCACAACAAAGTATTGAGGTTCGTCGGAGTGTGTCGCCCCGCGCTCTTTTTCGCGCTTTCTGCCGGTGTTGTGCGAGCGAGCGCAACCTACGAGGCCAATCTCAGTTTCCTGGGTGATAAGTCGCTTACAAGAGCGAGGAAGCAACGAGTCGGTTGAGCAAAGGAGTGCGCAAGAGAGAGCAAGAGGGACTGAGAAGGGGAGAGAGAGAGAGAGAGAGAGAGAGAAAGAGTGCGTCTGACGACGACGACGACGACGACGGCGACGGCGACGGAAAATCACGTCGTTCGGTCGCGCAAGTGCGCCCGGGCGCTCTTACTTCTCAGCATACACCATTCATGAAGACAGGTGAGTGAGAAACGATTCAGGCAGATTTAATCGGATGAACCGTCCTCCGCAGAATCTCGTATCAGGCCGACGGACACGTCGCCGTCGTCGCCTGGCGAACATCTCCGTAACAGCTGATGCGGTTTCATTTGTAGACAATTGCAGAACATGTTTGTAAGTATAATTGCAGAAAAGTTCGAAGAGACTGTCTGTAAACAGGGTTTTAAATTTTTAGTGATAAACATGAAGCACAAGGATACTGCTTACTGAAATCAAATAACAAATTTGTTTGATTAGACATATATGTATAAAATGTTCTTAGAAAATAATATTGTTAAAGCAACTATGTGATCTATCTCTTTAAAAAGAAACAAAAAATTTGAGCCAGCTAGACTTCTTGTCTAATTGTTTTATATTTCTTTATTTTATAGTAGATAATTTTAACTTTCTCTTTTTATATATATTATAAATACTTTGTGTACATATAATGTTAGAAAATTAGCATATGAAGATAACAGGATAAGATTTTTGCAGATCATTGGCTTCATAGATTCCCCCAATTCGTAATGCATTGGTGATTCCATTATATCATACTTTCTATAGGGGAAATCTAATCTGTAGAAGAGCTATATAAGAATTCCCAATTAAAACAGGCTTATCAAGTATATCAATGAGTTCTCCTAACTGTAACTTAAAACTTTTGGTAGTTGATATCTTCAGAGAGAGAAAGAGAGGATAAAATTATATAAAAAAAATTGTTTGACTTCCTTCGCAACAACTTACTTCAAAATTAATCAGAATAATTCTTGGAAGTAGTATTATCATAAATTATGTGTTGGTACTATATTTAATTTTTGGATGATTCACACTTTGATATAAATTTTTTTTTCCACTAATGTTTGTCATTTGATTTCATGCTATCTACTTCTTATCTTTGCCATTTCACTTTTCAACATCTGCATAAGTTCTCACCCTCTGAGTGAGTTTATCTCATTCCAGGTGCATTATTTCCATAAAAAGAAACAGCGTCGAGAAGTAAATGATATTATGTGTGGAAAAATAATTTGTAGATACAGAGTCAATATAGATTTAAGCACACATTATTTTGCATCTAAATTATACAAAAAAAAAAATATATATATATATATAAACAGAGTATATATAAAGATACGTTATAGGCATATGGATAGAAAGAAGTAAAGAACAGAAGTTTATTCCCATCAGCCATGCATAACAGAGGCCAGGTGCACTTATGATATACGTTTCTGTAAAGGTAACAAACACATAGACTGTCATATCAAGTCTGCTTGTAACATTTGCAGTAACTCTATGTACTGGATATCTCCCTTAGTCTAAATATAATGATAAAAGTGTCCAAAAAATAACAGAAAGAACAGATGTTCTATAATTTAATTTAGATAGAAGACAACATGTGCCAACAACACATGTAATAGTTATGTATATTGAAGAGAATTTTCCAGAAATTTTTTTTTATTATAAAACATTTAAAGTTGTAAAGTATACGTATAGTTTTAGGCAAAGAAAAATTTTCTAAGTTATTTTTTATACACACGTACGATGATCTTAAACTTTACTGAAAATCAGAATTAAACAGAATCATGTTGATGTAATATTAGCAGTTTTTTTTCCTCTATATCAAGTTTTCTTTATTAAGCACCGATTGCTGCAGTGTATCAAAACAGAAAAAAACTCTAGATCGTGTTACAATATCAAGTAACGATGTTATGATATTCTCATCAAAATACAAGTCATAAGGAGGGAGACTTCTGTGAAGCTTATGCTACACAATATACCATGTATTCTATATCAAGATCTTATTGATAAAAGAAACAAAAATTCATTTATTTCTTTATTTTAATAACTAATAGTATAGAATTAAATATCTACGCATATAGAAAGAGAAAAATTTACGCATGCCTTCTTTCAAACATAAATATAGAAGCATCCGTGAGCTGCTTATTATCAGTCCCCCTTGGCCATCCTTAGCGAAAAGAGGGTGCTCGCACAGTGCTCAGGATAATTCTCTCTAATTGCTTTCGTGATCCAACCGCCTTCATTGATACCAGTTTCAACCCCCTTAAAGCGAGCCGTGTGTCCAGTCACGCGTGCCGCGCTTTCTGGGGCCACCCCCTTCGCCCTCCCACTCGCAGCAATTTCTTTCCCCTTGATACATTGTGTTCGGTACCTGCCGCCCCAACAGGTACCTCGGTGCAATAAACCATGATACACGCGCGTAATAATGGCAGTGACGTGGTACGTTTGTATCGCGAGCCCGCTTACGGGGCTTCCCTTTGATCTGCGGATTATTGAATGCGCCACACCTGCGGGAAAGTACGGTACAATTGTGAACGAGCCGCGATATAGGTTAGGACGGTGGCCGCCGCGAAACACGGCCGGGAATTTTACGCATTGTTGTTGCTCGATGACCCTTTCCGGGGCACTGTTGTTTACGAATTGGTTCTCGGGAACCCGGCGGATGAGAAATTTCGCTTTGAGATTTTAGAGCGTTTTTTGTAGCGTTTCGCTTTTCTCGCTCTCTAGCGTCTACTTATGGACGCATTTGCTACTATATTAGCATCTTCAGGTGAATGAAATTTATTGACATTCTCACATAGTCACTATATAAAATATTGTTAAGAGTTCCATTTGTAAAATAAAAATTAAAAATTAAACTAATACAGAATAATATTTGACAAGATAATCTTTTTAATAAATGAGGTTTAATATGCAACTAATGTTGAATGTTTTCAAGCTGTATAGTTTTTTATAATGTAATAAAAGAAAAATTTTTAATAATTTGGTCGTATATTTCTTATATTAAACAGTACATTGTTTATCTTATGAATAAATTAACTTGCATTTTTTCCCATGAATATAAATTTAAATTTTAAATATGTATCTTGATTGGATAAATTGATATTAAAACAGGGCTTGTGTGTGTGTGCAGAAATAAGTACATTGTTCTTAAGAATCTTGTCACTCGCAGAATCCGGCAGGAAGATGTTATTGATATTTAGGCAAGAGGGTATATGCGCACATCATTCTGTTGTAGACTCGTCTCTCCAGCAGCGGGGAGATAGCAGCAGTGGTGGTGAGACAGTAGGCGTAGAGAGAGGTGAAGGAGTGATTGCCATGACTACGACGGGAGCCCAGTACGCTCTCGCAGCAGCATCCACCGGGGCTAACAACAGTGGGGGTGGCTCAACGGCAGTAGGGGTGGATTCCAAGCCAAGCGTGGTTGTCGTGACTACTACTTCCAGTTCTAGCGGTGGTGGTAATGGTGCACAGACTCAGTCAGGCAGAGGCCAGCAGCTTATCACAGTCGTGACAAGCCCAGATCCCTCCAGTCCAAGCAATCTGCAACCTATCCAGGTTGGTGATATTATTCTTGTTATCTTTGCACAAATCATGTCTTTTACTGTGATTACCAAGGAAAATTACTCGTTCTTCAAGAATTTTCTAAGCATCGTGAAGATAATCATATGTCAATATTCAGCAAAATATAAATTTGACATATTTTCTTCTCTCTTCCCATCTTTGAGATATATTTGTGCATTTTCTTTTATTGTGAAATTGGTGAGAATACAAGAAATATATACAATAGAGTAAAAAAGATATACGAAAAAAATTATTACTGTAACATCTGTTTATAACACATATTCTGTAGGTGTTGTACAACCAATCTGATAACACGTTTGAACCATCTGCTCTTAGCAACTGATAACAGAGTGATACATGCACAAATGTTGAAGTAAAATCCAAATTCAGAGTTCTTTCAGAATTCTTCAAACTTACGTTGCATAAAAATACTTGTGTTTTGTATAGAAGACATGTTTGATTTCTTTTTTTGTTTTTTTTTGTTTTTTTTTGTTTTTATTACAAAAACAAGTTGTGGGCCAAGAGAGCACGCATACTATAAATAATAATTTAGTTATTGGTTCAGGATCCACTTGAAACAGCTGCAGATTCTTCCAACGGCTCGGCAGGTACACCGTCACATGTTACAGCACAAGTAGTGGTTAATACTACTCATTCAAACCAGCACACATTAGTGGATTCTGACGCCGCATCTACATCGGCCGGTACTATTGTCAGTGATTCACCGCACTACATAACAGTCACAGGTAATAAACAAGTAAAATGTATTTTCTATCTGCAATTCAAATTTTAAGAATTGATCCTTGCTTTCACCTTACTGCAACATAAATATTTAAAATACAAGAGCAAATAAAATTGTAAATAGCTAAGTACAATAAGCTGCAAGTACTTTTCGATTGTACAACAAACTGCGAATAAGTTTATTGTTTGCGGTGAGTATATGGGGATCAGTTTGAAAAATTATAGTGTTTGAGTAGAGATTTGGCCCTTCTATGCTGCTGAAAAATATGCACTTCTGTATTTCTACTCTGACCACAATAGGCACCAGTGATACAACATCCTACGCGTCCCTCACATCGGCTGTAGGTGAGGGCAGAATATAAACAGCATGCTTTATATGTTTTTATATTTATATAGTGTTTATCTTCTATATAAATTTTACAATTTTGTAGAGACTCACGAAGAGTCTGTGAATTAATTTTAATTTCATTAATCAATATTATATTATGTTTTTCGCAATTGTTTCTCTATGTCTCCAACGGATTTATGCGTGTCACGTTGTAAACGAGATACGTGAATATAAAAATTGTTTGATTTAAAGTAGTTTTGAAAAATAAAAAAAAGAACTACTTTTATTTTATTTGTTCGTAGGTTTAAGACAGTTTTACTGATTTTTGATGGTGGAAAAAATTCCAAAGATTACATTTACAGTGATATGTTGATTATATTTGTTGTACTTGATGTGTAAGTCGGTTATATCTCAATTGTACATAAGCTTTATGTGTCGATTATATACATATACACATATATATGTATAAAAATGCACGATGTATTCCAAATATATAAAATCACATTCTCTGTTTCAGTGTCTGGTGACGGAGAGGCAGTGGGGTCCGAATCAGTATCTCATCCAACTTATGTTCAGTATGTTGAAGGGGATGGGTCCACGTATATACCGACAAATGGCCAGATGTGAGTTGATATTGAAACGTTAAAAAGAGCATTGTTAATTAAACCATTTAAAAATATAAAGTTACACGAACTCTGTCACATTTATTTTCTACGGTAATAATAATCATACACATATTTCTCTCATTTGAAAAAACACGTCTTTTACTACACGTCTTGTAATGCACATTACAAAGCAGTTTGCAAATTTAAAAATATTATTAAAACGTTTAGTTCTCTTAGTAAAGTAAATTTATGCAAATTAACCAGCGCGTACTTTACAAGAATTGATTATCTTCTTGAATATCACAGAGCTTTTTTGTTATCAGATTGTTCTGAAGATTGAGTTTCTATTTTATATTCTACTTTTATCATAAGATCAACGTAAACACTTTCAAATTGCGAATTAACCGCAAAGTTTTACAAATCACTTTGTTACGATGTTTTTTTATGTTAATATTTCACAGGACATATCCTGTTTATGCTGTCGGAGAAGCAGGAACGATGTACACACCGGCTTCCGGTCAGTACTACACTCCGGCAACAACACCAGTAACATATGCGCAGGTAAAAAACATTTTACATTCGAATACTTATGACCTAATAGCAGTCGTAACAATTACAATATCGACGCCTAATTTTATTCCAAATTGCGTTAGGGCTCAAATTCGACTACCGGACAATTATTATCACAGGGGAACGGCACGTACTTGATCCAGCAGAGCGTGGTGGATGGAGACCCGACCACTCAAGCACTCATATCTGCGGCTGCTGCGGCGCGCACTAGCCCGCAAGAGGAAGCGGCGGTAAGATTATGCATGTCTCACAATTTACGTCTTTCTCTCTTCTGCTTTTCTCTTTTTAGAAGCTGAGCAAGTGCTAGTTTCGGATACATTGAATGAGAGATTAATGCAATATAGAATATGTATTTTACGTGTCTTATCTCTGCAGGCATGTGTTCTGCATGATCGTACGAGTTGTCGAAATTTTGTCTCAAATTATTTACACACACAGTATCAAAACTATGTAAAAATATATATAACTAAGAATTTATTTGGTAAGATTAGAATTGAGATTTTTTTCTTTCTAAGAAATAAGCAAATTTTACATTAAATTTTTATTTCAAGTGACATTTTGTAGATATTTTGTACAGATATGTACAAGTGTTGATATATTCAAATTTTGAGATAACTCGTATTCCAATTCATTCCAACTGTTGTGATAGTTTGCAAAAACAAACCTGTAAAGTATTCAAGATAACTTTATCAAGTACGCGCGAGGGTTAACAAAGCATCGGTGTGTTGGGTTGTTCAATAGGAAGCTGTGGTTAGCGGGGGTGGCGGGGCATACTTGATCAGCGGTAATTCTGGAGGTACCAATGTCACCGTGGAGGAGGCTGCAGCGGCCGCGGCTGCAAATATGACGCATGCCACTAGAGTCTCCCAAGCCACCGTAAGCCAAAAAACTCAGTTTTCTGCTTTGTTTGATTGACATACTAATTATTCGGTTTTTAATTCTATTTTTGGCATGTATATTAATTGATTTGCCTTGAAAATATAGTTTTAATATATGGTTAATGTGTAGTTCAAGTTTTAAAGATTTTTTGTTTGGAACTTTTAGAGAAAAAAACATTTGCAATTGATATTGAGAAATGGTTGTGCAACTAATATTTATATGTGTTTGCTGTTAGTCAATAATAGTTTTAATAAAATATTTTTTTATACATAGAACATACAATATTCTTTTTTGTGCATAGAGTAGTATTATATAATTTTTTTATCTCTCTCTACATATATATTTAAATATATTTAATAAGTAAACATTAATTGCAGTAAAATAATTTGTTATATTCTTTTTTTATTTGTATATTATTTTATTTTTGTTATTCATAATATATTGTCAATATACTATATTTATTATGTGAATAAAGTTAGTATGCATATAAACAGATGCAGTGGTTGTTGGAAAATTACGAAAATGCTGACGGTGTTTCTCTTCCAAGATCAACTCTTTATAATCATTATATACGACATTGTACTGAAAATAAATTGGATCCTGTGAACGCGGCCAGTTTTGGAAAGTTGATACGCACTGTGTTTATGGGCTTGAGAACTAGACGTTTAGGAACAAGGTGAGACAAAAGTTTCAAAATTATTTAAAAGATCTCAAGAAATGTCAAATTAATACATTATATTACATTGTGTTTCGATTTTTTTTTTTTTTTTTCAATTTTAGGGGAAATTCAAAGTATCATTATTATGGGATTCGCATCAAACCAAATTCACCTCTGATCATGTTGAACGAGGATGGTACACCGAAGCAGCAGCAGAGCGCGAACTCTCAAACTAAGCGTTACAAATTCTCTAATCAAAAGCAAGAATCATCTTATGAAAATAACAATACGCATGCTAATGCAAATATCTCTACCAATTCCTCGCCGCCGCATTATCATCAGTATCTCGGTGAAGCGAGTGGTGCTATTCCTGATTTTCCGGAAATCTTTATCAGTCACGATTCGACACTGCCAGAGGATTGCACGCTCGAGGACATCGATACGTTTCGCAGCATATACAGAGAGCATTGCGAAGCGTTTTTGGACGCGGTGTTGAATTTCGAATTTGCCACGGTAGAGAGCCTCTGGAGAGAATTCTGGCGCAGCCAGGACAATAATAACGGTGACGAGTGCGAAGAAGAGAAGTATTTATCAAAGTAAAGATCCTTTAGCTACTTAAATTTTTTATAAATGTCATATACTGAATATATTTTTATACATTTGCGTCATATGTACATAATTAAACATATAAAACTTATATACGCAATTATATATTGTATGAAATTTTAGCATAAAAAAACAATTTTGATCTTTCAGAACCAAACTATATCAGATGTGTAAGTGTACGGGAGTACAAGATTTTATCAAAAAGGTTGACTTTACGTTCTATCAGAATCTAGTTGAAGTATTAATACCTAATGTATTGCGACCAATACCAAGTATGTTGCAGTGTTCATTATATCATTACTTTGTTTAGTAATTTATACATTAAAACTTTTGTTTTTCTTTCTGACTAGGTTCTTTAACGCAGTCTATTCGAAATTTTGCAAAAGGACTAGAATCTTGGTTACAATCAGCTATGGCCGACTGTCCTGAAGAAATGACACAAATTAAGGTATTTGAACTCATAGCAAAAACTATTTTTAAATATAAGATGATTTTTTGAAATTTAAAATAATACTTGTGTGTGTGTGTGTGTGTGAGTGATATGATATTATTGCTGATTGCAGTTGACTGCAGTGTCAGCTTTTGCTCAAACTTTAAGGCGTTACACGTCATTAAACCATCTTGCGCAAGCTGCGCGTGCAGTACTTCAAAATTCGAATCAGATAAGTCAAATGTTGGCCGACTTGAATCGCGTTGACTTTCATAACGTACAAGAACAAGTAAGTTGATACGTGAACGCCTATCGAAAATCTGTCTACATATTCTGTATTTGTCATTAATTTAATATACGTATTTAAAATGTGCGTGTTTTTACAAGTATATTGTGTGCATACTTGATTATGTTATATATATTATAGGCGTCTTGGGTGTGTCAGTGTGATTATGGGATGGTAGAACGTTTGGAGACGGATTTTAAAGCAACGTTGCAGCAACAAAATTCTCTGGAGGATTGGGCGATTTGGTTGAAGGGTGTTGTGACGCAAGTGCTAAAACCATTTGAGGAAAAACCTACGTTTGCTAAAGCTGCGCGTCAGTTTTTACTCAAGTGGTCCTTTTATAGGTTTTTATCTGTTTATTATATATATATATATATATGTTTACAATGATGAATGTTTTACAAAAGTTTTTAATTGTTGCGTTCTTTGTAGCTCAATGGTTATCCGAGATCTCACTTTGCGAAGCGCAGCCAGTTTCGGATCTTTTCACCTTATAAGATTACTTTATGATGAATACATGTTTTATTTAATAGAGCATCAAGTCGCGATTGCAACTGGCACAACGCCGATAGCTGTAATGGGAGATGTTAGTATACTTTATACACTTTCATCACTATGTAATTGTTTTAATTATAATGTCTTTTTTTTTTAGTTGCAAGTAAAAATAAGATATATATATATATATAAATAATTATTTTTATATAATTATCAATTTTATATATCTAGTATGTGTATATTACGGTATATATATTGCATCAAAACAAAAAAAAGAATTGTTTGTTTCAGAAAAGTCAAAACTGCTCTTTGATCAGCAATTTTGGGACAACGTCTAACGGAGGTAAGATTTTCGCCAAAAAAAAAACTTTCTCTTCTATAGGACAATTATTGTGAGGTAAATGAAAAAATCATATGTGTGAAATGTTATTTTAGATACATCTGATGCGAACCAACAGAAACGTATGAAGCTAAGCTAACTGCGTGCCTACGCCCTTTAGTTTTGTGAGTAAACCGGTTAGTGTACGAAAGTACGAATGCTAGCACGAAAGCATGCAGGCCTACACTATATGCTGTTCCATGAGAAAATAATCTCAATTGTTTTATTTCCGATATTATTCATCACTGAGAATTGTGAATAAACAAACTACAATAAACAAACGCATTTATGTCGGTGCATATCTACGATACGACAAACGAATTCTCTTTTTCTCTGAGATATGTCCTTGTAATTATCTTACAGATCTGCTTTTCTTTACTGTCAAAAGTGCACAAAGATCGTAAAGGATTATTTTCTCACGAAACGGTGTATACAAAGAACATACTAGTCTCGTAAATTATTATTTTGTATAACGTAAAATTATAATTACGATTTATAAAAAAAAAAGAAGAGAATTTTTGCATAACGCCCATGATGTATACAATTTAAGTAAGTCTGTGTGATATAAGATATATAATAATAAAGAGGTATTGTGTATTCCGCAAAGCTCTTGCCTCATAATACAGATGCGGTGCAGAATTAAGGTATCGCTGGCACGATGTTTAGTACGTTAATCGAATGTATGTCGAATCTAGTCGAAACACATCTTTGGGGAAAAGAGAAAAAAAAACGTATATACGGGACCATGAATTTATCATGCCCTCGCTAGAAAAATAATGTGAAGCCCACTTGATTGTGTTTTCATATTTATTATATTTATTATTTTATGTACAGATGCATTTACTGAAATGTGAATAGTTCTACTTTTCTACATGTAAAAGATTCGGATGTAAAAAAACGGCATAATACATATCAAATGTTACTTATTCCGGCTTTACACCCGAATCTCTCGTGTACGTATTTATATATATATATATATATATATATATATATATATATATATATATATAAAATAATTTATAATTCTAAACTGAATTTATATATAATGATTCATGTATGTGATATAATTTTACATATTATTAAAACTTATTTATTATGTTATATACCTATGTATCGATGCGATCGATACCTTCTATTAAATATTTATATATGAGTTAGTAGTTATTAACGATAAATTTGTTTTGAATAAAATTTCTGACACGTCCTTCAAATATACATTGAAGAAAACTAGATTGAGTGGGCTTAAACCGCAAACATTTCTCAACGTGTGCAAAGGAAAACGCGAGAAATCCGAGAACATCGAGAGAGCAAGATCTTGACTTTTTGCTCGCGAATTCCGATTTGTACAGATTCACGTGCAACCAATTACAAAAATCCGCCCTACCGACGGTAATATGTCAAAACTATTCCTACCGAAAGATAGAGGAAAATTATTATAAATATATATATTATTATATATAATTGCTGTGTAAACGGTATATAAACTTTAAAGTTAACACATATATCCGACATTCATATTTTTTAACATAAAAAATGTATTGAGAGAGAGAGAGAGAAAGAGATCGTGCATCGAGCTCGGTGTGAAAGTTTCGTTTGATAGCAGTCTCTGTTGCAGTGCGTTACTATTCTCGGTATAATTAAAACGAATAGTACAAAAAAAAAAAAAAAAAAAAAGAAATTGTGTAAAAGAAAAAGAGGAAGAAGAGAGAGAAAGACGTGAAATGTTTTGATTTACTGATCGAGTATTACGATATGCATTTTATACATTGAATGTACATACGTTATAATGACATGAAAATAGAAATATCCAATAATTATTGAAGTTAAAAGAAGAATCAGAAGTTATAATGATAAGCGTGACAAGAGTGTCTTTAAGTGGCTCGAAAACTCGTGAAAAAAAATCGGTCGAGAATACGTACAATAAAAATATGTGTCGGTATATGTTTTATTATTATCCACATAGACATTCTAATAGTGTCTCCTTTTGTATTACAAGAAAGGAATTAGATATAAGTCCGTCATATTGCGAGAGTATTGTATGTTGAGTTTGATTCGTTTTCGTATATATTATTATTTTTTAAGGTGATTTAATACATGTTCGCGCGGAACGTTATGTAGCTGCGTTACACAGATTGGTATTTGTTCAAGCACGAAGTTGAATCAATCTCTTATATATCGTCGAATGGCGACGTCCTATTTATAAATGAGTTGTTTTATACATATTTTTTCACAGTGTATATAATATATATAAGTTGCTCTTCGAACATCGAAAAATGTACGAAAGAGATTAATCAAATCGACATGTAGTGATTTCACGTAGTTATTTATCGCAAACACCAAAGCTAGTAATTTAAATAATTTTTTTTTTTTTTCATGTAATTTTTCCTACTTTTTAAGTGTAACTGTTGATTTATTCATGTATATCTCGTACATTTAAACACGAAACATATAACTCACGAGAAACTTTTGTCACAAAAGGGCAAAAGAATCTATAATTGATGTAAATGTGTGTACGCCAATGAAATATTTTTAATATTTCTCATGACATAGAGAGATATGTGCGTCTGTGCGAACGCGCAGTTTCAACGAAACCAAAGTGCACCTATAATAGCTTAATTCGCTTACTGATTTGTTCCCGTAACTTTCGCACGATAAAAGATGTATTGTATGTGACGAATCTTGTATTTTCAAATAGTTAATTTTCTTAATTCGCTGAAAAGATTTATGGAAAATACACAGAAATGTATAAAGAAAGAAACTAGATTGTTTATGAAAGATTAAAGAGAATTTTATCTTTTTTTGTACAGCCCGCGCATTTGTATGTTCAACGCTGAAAGACTGCATGTAAAATGTTTCACGAACACGGGATAATCGCTGAAGCACATTCTTCACATGTAAAACATGAATTGTATAAATGAACATGTGTGTTATTTTCACGTCTGTAAACGTTCCAATTTGACAGATAATGTAATATGATAATAGATAATAGATTTAGAGTGACTTGGCAAAATTGCTGAATCAGGATAAACATTTTTACCAGCGCAATGACACAGCAGACAGTAATCAACTCTCAAGACTTCTCGATGCCTCGCGACTTGGATTTTATGACGGAGAACTTCAAGATCGCCGAAGTTGCGTGTAATTGATTTAAAAATAAATATTTCTATATAAACGCACGTAGAATCAGTCGAGTACGTATGTAAAATACGCTAAACAGGTTTCTTTTAATCCAACGTAAAACTAAAACTATATCAGCAAAAAATCGAGTTAAAAAATTTAAAGTTTTTGCAACGCTGATATAGTTTTGTGCGTTATAGAAAGAAAATTGTTTGGTATATTTTACAAGTGTGCTCTATGATCCTATATGTATTTATACAGAAATATTTCCTTAATATCACAAAATGTATATGAAACTTCGGTAATTTTCTTTGTTTCTGACGTCTTTCTAGAATCTATAAGTCGCGAGATATTGAATAGCCTTAAGTTGCAAACGTGTATGTTTCACAGTCCAAATAACGTAACTTTATCGTTTGAAAGATAAATAAAACAAACCAAAGTCGAGTTTTGCAAACGTTATGTTCTAAACAATGACTAATGCAATTGTAAAAAAATTTTCTCGATGTTGATATCTTCGCCGTTTTATCAAACACGTATAATAGCGGACATTTTGTTTATAATCTCTCAGTGATTTACTCATTTATCTTGTACAGTCACATTTTCAGAATATTTTTGCTTGTTTTATTTATACCTTACAACTGTCGCAAAGTTCAAGGTTCCGATTAACGAACAAGATTAAAACATCCCAGTCATTACGACTGCGCTTCATCGGTAATTATATACATGTTCACTTCTTGCTTTTTTTGAGATCTTATTACGTTATTTGGATTTTGAACTTGAAGTGAATTTCTCATATTTTTTACTTCACTCAATTCCCGAACGAGAAACTAAATGGTTTTTTTTTCCAGAGAAAAACTGAAGATTTTTAATAACAGGAGAAACTCGGTGCCTTTTTTCATATGTAAAAAAATCAGGAAATATAAGCATTTTTCACGCTGCATCTTGAGTGGATAGTCTCGCAAATCAATTCTGCTTTATTCACCGAAGCTTTGTGTCACAAACGCGTCTTTTCTTCCAAACTAATAGTTTACCATGACTAATCATTGTATGTAGCAAGAAGGGTACTAAAACAAACAAACTGTTATTATTCTCATCACAATTGCAAGACCATAGAGTAGCGCTGCCGAGAAAGACATGTAGAAAGATACGTGCGTTTAATTTATTGTATAGGATTATATCGCGTACTAGTCAAAGAAAGAAATTTGGTAGTGTTTAAGTGGCGAGAAACAGGGAAAAAGGAAGAAGAAGAAAAAGAAGGAAAATGAAGAGTTACATCGCACAGTACATCGAGCAGAAATTTAGGATGTTTTCGTAACTGTAATGAGCTTATACGTATAAAGATAAAAAAAACTTATATATCGTCGATACCTATGTGTATCTAGAGCGTAAGAGTATAGCTTTACGGAGCGATTCGCGACGTTCTTTCAACGCCAATGGAAATCCGAGTACAACAAGAGCGTGGCGACACGAATGACGGAAAAGTTGTGTCGCAGGCAGGAAAGAAAACGAAAAATAGACGTGATGTTTTTTTCCGTTTTTCGCTTTCGCGTCGCTCTTGTGCGCCACTTTAAGTTGCGAGGATCGCTCTAATTGTAAGTTTTACAATTTTACAATTGCCGCGAGAAAAGAAAAATCGGCAGGTAAAACGTAGTCCAATAGTTACTGTTCACAAGATCAAACACATCGTGGTTTCCTATGTTGCGAAATAAGTATAAAACACGGCCTTATAAAATATTTCCGACTTACGATGGAGCGGGAAAAGTAAACATGTAGTAGAGAAAAAGAGGGGTAATGCGAGAGAACAAGAATTGAGGCAGAAAAATTGCAATACTCCGAAAAAAAAAACGTAAAGTCAGAAGGGAGAAAAAGTAGAATTGTCATCTGTTTTTCTCGTAAAACGTAATAGAAGAATATTTTGATACCTCCAGATTTGCAGAAATCAAGTGTCATTCGTTACCGCTTAAATAAGATTATTTTTACTGAATGCCGCTCAAAAAAAAAAAGAGAGAAAGAGAGAGAGAACGAGAGAGCGAGAGAAACAGCGAAAGATATCATAGTCAACATTTATAAACAGCAAGGTCCACTTGATGACAACCGGAAAAAACGGATTCGTGGAAAGAAAATGTATTTACTTTTCAAAAACCATCCTTCGAAATTTCTCGGTTGATACCGGAAAGAGAAAGAAAGTAATAAGTAGTTTGTCGTAAAAGAGAGTCGAATTCGACAACTACTCTTGTAGTTTTTCGCGCGGTGAAAATGTATCGTTGCGATTAAATGATAGAAACTTTGGTTGTCCTTAAGCAGACTCTGCTGTATATTACTCGAACAAGACATACAAAAAATTCTTTGAAGAATCTGTGTGAATGTGCGGATTATGAGGAATAAATAAATCTATGTTCAAAATAAATATATTGCGCGATCTCTTGCAACCGCTCAAACTTAATTGATTTTTTTCTTTGCATACTTGGACTTGATATTTCTTTAAATTAAATCACCAATTAAGCTATTGTGGCGAATAAACATTAAAGTTTTGCACATAATACGATTACTTATTAATCAATGACTTTTGAAAAACTCGCGCATCATCAAGTTAAATTGTATTATTGCTTACAGATAACATAAAAACAAAAATTACTTCTTAAATGGTAATTAAAATATTAACACAGGTATAACCAAAAACATTAACAGAGATATGTGTGTATGATAAAATTTCGTTACATAACTATTTATATAATTTAATTGATTTATTTGGTTTTCCCAGCGAGTAGTCACAAAGTAAATATTCTTGCGTACAATAGAAGCATCAGATATTAGTTATACGCGCTTTACGTCTCGCAGATTTTATTTTACATTATATGCACATTTATATATATATATTCATATATATATTCATATATGCACATTATATATATATATATATATATATATATATATACGTATATATATACGTATAGACTGAATGTAACGCTTGACAACAATGTAACAATGTGAAAACATTCGCTCGGCATCCGTACGACGTTAAGTGCACCAACGTCGCGTCTTTGAACGCATATTTTTTATTTCTTTTGGTATACACGGTGAGTAAATATTCGCGCGCGAATGTTATCTTCTCGTCTACATAATAGCACGCGCAACGATAAGTTACTGAAACAATAGTCACCGAGTATATCTCATCAACTTTTCGTATCGGCGCCGCTACTTGTTCCAAACGTCGTACGCGAAGTTAGTCAAATCTGTAAGCGTCTCGAGTTCGTTATCCCGCAATTTCCGGTCGACAAGATTCTAAGTCTATGATATATATATATGCTTAATATAAATTATATTAAGGAAATACGTTGATTTGGTATTTTTTCTTGTGTATTTTTGTTAGATCTCTAAAAATCAGTAAGTATATTGCACGCTTATTATGTTAAAAAACAATATTACCTTAACGATACAGCCGTACTACGATTACTATTCAAATATACGTAATATTCAAATCGCTATGTGTGTGTGTGTGTGTGTGAATGAATCTCATATATCTTTATAGGTATGTAATTTACATATGAACTTTGCTTTGCTTTCGATTATTTAAAGGAATTCATGAATTGTTTAATGAGCATCAAAAATGACATCATTAAATCGTTTCTACACTGAAAGAAAGTTAAACGCGGACACTAAATTGATGTTAAATTTTGATACAAAATTAGCATTGATTGAAAAAGTTGATTCATTTTTTTCGATTTTGTATCTTAAACACGATACAGAAAAGCGATTTCATTTCAAAACATCCCGCCATGTGTCAATCGTGTATTTACATTTATTCATATTCATCACAAGTTCTAGATGCAGATAAAAAAAAACGAAGAGGTTTGTTGTTTTCTTTTTCTATGTTCACGTATTTGTATTTGACATTACGAACCAATTATGTTCATTTATAATTAGAAACGAAATTTACATGTACGCAAAAACCTTGTAATTTACATCGACACAATGGTTTTTCGAGAGAGAATTCAGTTTTAATTTTTTTACTAATATCTTATTTATTCTAATATCTTTTTACTAATATCTTATTGTGGAAGGTCCCCTTTGAAGGTCAAACGTTGGAACGTCAGAAACATAGAAAAATATTTGCTTAAATGTTTTTGCGATATATACGCGATGAAAATAAAAAAAATTCTTTTTTTCAAAATCCAATTACAATCGATATCGTTGAAAACGCAAAAGTATGCAAAAGTCTGTGCTTCGGTCTTTATATACGTGCTGTATGAAAATTTGCATGTATAAAATCTATATCTATGTGTATTTCCGCGATTCGCCGTTTTAAAAAACTTAATACGATGAGACAAAAGAAGGAAAAAAAAAGAAATATTGAGACCATTAATATGTAAATATGTACGAATATTTTTATCTTCTTAGAATTGCAGTGATCCGCCAGTACATAGGTAAGTGACAATTGTCCGAAGTATTTAAAAATCTTACGCGAGACGTGAAATCCCGCCTATCTAATTTCACTCAAATTATATTAATCGCCGTATCACTCGCGGCGATTGTTGCAATATCTTGGGCGCACTCGAAGAGGACGTACTTTGTACTCGCGTTGCAAGAGAAAGAGAGAGGATGGAACACGTGAAGTGACAGTGTTTGCTTGAAACGAACTTGCCGAGTTCAAGAGGGGAAGGAAACGAACGTAAGACTAGAATTTCCTTGCACGATACTTATGTTCCGACGATGTGGTAGTTCGTCGCAACTCCGTCTACATAAATGTATGAGTACACACGCTATTATCAAGATTGCGGAATGTCAGTAGCGACTGATTAAACCCAAGAGAGTTGACTCTTCCTTATACCTCCTTTCTCTTTTTTTTTTTTTCGCGGTGTCATCGCGCGCAGCGTGTTCCCCCGTCGCACCGATTATCTCTTCCCTACACTCCCTCCACCACCACCTGTTCGGCGTGACTACGCTCGCTTGGTTGTGTTGTGCCGCGATCAACCGCGATTCCGCTTTTGTGCGCTGCGAGAGCCACGCGCGTTGTCACGCAGCGAAAGTTTTAATCAGTCCTGATCGTGCCCGTGAGCTCTACTGGAGTGAGTCTGCATTTGTAAGAACGTTTGTAAACTGTCGAACATCCGAAATGGCACCAGCTCTCAGCAAATTCGCTACCAGGCGCAACCTGGCCGGTGCGGTCGCAGTCAGCACGCTTATTTGGATACTGAGAAATCGCAGCAGGCGAAGGACGAAGAAGTCTAGGTAAATTGCGCATTTTTTGCGTTCGCAACGTGCTGTTGAGCTGAGTAACGATGTGCTTGCAGGGATCAGTGGCCGGTGAACAATGACATTCAGTACATCATCAAGGAGGTAAGAAAATGTAGAACCCGTGCGTCGATTGCGAGTCGGATTTGCAGTCGTGCTCGTTGACTATGCTTTACAGGAGAAGCCGAAAGGTCCGAAGGCGCAGGTGAATGCCGCCTTCTTCCGTATGCTCTATCAGTTGCTCAAGATCGGTATACCCAGTGTGTTGTCACCTGAATTCGGTTGTGTTGTACTAGTGGCAGTTGCTTTGGTCGGTAGGACTCTGTGTGATTTGTGGTTGATCAAAAAAGGAACTCTGATAGAAACGTACGTGTTGTTTCAAATGATTTTTTAACTACAGTTAAACACATTGATATCTCAAAGTTTGTTTCTACGAGCTGTTTGAAAACGTGTATATCTATAAGATCTTGAAAATTCATGTGTTCAGATCACTATCAGATCAGTAAAATCTTGTATGTCACCAGGTCAATTGTTAACATGGATGGTCCAGTGTTTAGAAGTCATTTGTTGAATCTGCTTGGAATGGTGCCTGTGGTAAGTACAGTGTATTGTTGTCAATCAATAAGGTTGTTTTTTCATAAAATAAAATCCTTTCTCTGTGTGTGATTTGCTAAATCAATTTAATTTCAATATTTGTGACTCCATCTTGTTTTAACAACTAAAATGTTGTTACGTAACGTGATATATTTTGTGATTTTGTTTACTTAGATATCTGTGGTGAACAATGTATTGAAATATGGTTTAAGTGAAATGAAGTTGAGGTTACGTACAAATATCACACGACACTTGCTGGATCATTATCTCAAGTAAGTGACCTCATAAACAAATATATTTTGATAGAACACATTAAATCATCATTATATATCTTATTTATAGAACAACAATGTCAAAGGTATTGTCATAATTAATTCTGATTAAAAATAAATTTATTTTCACTTGGCATAATAAAATTGACTGACTTTTTTATTATATTGTACTGGAAGTATTTAAATCGTAAGCTTAATAAATAATTCTGACTGTATAAATAATAATGACTTGTTTGTGTAAGATACCAAAAAAAATATATTGAAAATGTTTTATTTATATTTTAAGAAATTATGTGTGTAAAATCTATAATAACATAAAAGAGCTATAAATATTTACAAAGAAGTTGTTTGTTTTAATAGGAGTTTTACTTACTACAAAATGAGCAATTTGGATTCTCGTATTTCAAATCCTGATCAGCTATTGACTACAGATGTTGATAAATTTTGTGATAGCTGTACAGACTTTTACAGTAATGTGGCAAAGCCTTTGTTAGACATTGGTATTTATGTATACAAATTAACTTCCACTGTCGGTGGACAGGTATGTGTATTTAATATTTTTTTGATGTATATATATTTATTTATTACTAAAAGGTATAAATTATATATTAAGAAAGATAAATATTTACACACACACACATATATTACATTTAATAACTTAAATGTAGTAATACTTATGTACTGAAATTAATAATATTTATATAAAGCTTATTTCCGAAAGTTTTATCTTGTTTATTCGATAACAATTAAATCAATATAGTAGAAAATGTAATTGTTTTTACAGACGCCGCTTTTGATACTTTCCTACTTAGTAGTGGCTGGCATTTTTCTGACTCATCTTCGCAGACCAATCGGAGCGATGACGGTGAAAGAACAACGACTAGAAGGAGAGTACCGTCATATTCATTCACGATTGATCACCAACTCAGAGGAAATATCGTTTTATGGAGGAAATAATAGAGAAAAATTAACGATGTTAACCAGTTTTCATAAACTGGTAAGTTATAATTAAGTTATAATTAACTTGTTTATACGAAGATATATACATACACGCACATATATATACACACTGTGGCATTGATATTCATTTAATTTATTTTTTGCGATTATTTTTATCGATCCTTGACAAAATTGGAAAATGAATGAAAACATTCAAGAATCGATAAAAATAGCTGCCGATAAACAAATAAATTTGAAAAATTACTTACATCTAAAACACTACATTTGAATATGCATTTAATTCTTTTTTTTTTTTTTTATTTATATCAATTCTTGAATTTTTTTACAGGTGACACATCTGCGTAAATTTTTGGAATTCAAAGTCTTCACGGGTGTCATAGACAATTTTGTTGGAAAATGTATGCAGTGCTATTTACGTATAAATTGTTACTTTAATCTTTAACAATATTATCTAGCGTGCTTTTGCTTATCAGCTGTTTAGAATTTGTAATATTCTAATCTCTATCATTTCCATAATCCATTTGCAGATTTTGCCACCGTAGTTGGCTTCTACGCGGTGAGCTTGCCTTTCTTTCAGAAAAATCATCCTATACTCTCGGGTACGCCCGATCATCGATTCAAGTCGTACTATACGTACGGTCGAATGCTGGTGAAGCTGGCCGAAGCAATCGGACGACTGGTATTAGCCAGTAGAGAACTAACACGTTTAGCAGGATTCACAGTGCGAGTCACCGAAATCAAAAACGTTCTCGATGAATTGAACGCTGGGAAATATGTACGAACGATGATCTCGGATTGCAAGAACAATGCAATCGGTTATCCTGGTGGCGGCAGAATTGTACCTCGCGACAATGTCATACGATTCGATCACGTGGCTTTGGTAACGCCGAACGGAGACGTGCTTATCAAAGAATTGTCCTTTGAGGTAAAGTCGGGAATGAACGTATTAGTTTGTGGTCCGAACGGTTGCGGCAAGAGTTCTATGTTCAGGATTCTTGGCGAGGTACGTGTTTATTTATAAGTTTCTTTGCGTATTGTAATAATGTTTTGTACAAATATTATTCATATCAGCTGCTTCTCAAATATGCTAATTTATATTGTTTAGTTGTGGCCTGTGTGGTCTGGCACTATTACAAAACCACCACGTGGAAAGCTTTTTTATATTCCACAACGTCCTTATATGACTCTGGGTACACTGAGAGATCAGATAATTTATCCGCATACAAAGGCGGAAATGATAAGACGAGGAAATGTCAGTGACGAGGATCTCAAAAAGTTTTTGGACTTGGTGCAGTTGACTCATTTATTGGACAGAGAAAATCTCGTCAATAGCGAAGGACAAGGCTGGGACACAGTGGCCGATTGGATGGACGTTTTATCGGGTGGCGAGAAGCAACGCATAGCAGTGAATATTTTTCTATTTTATTCTTGTAGTTATTGAAATTAATGTCTAATTGACAGTTATTTGAGTTTAGAAAGACTTATTTCTACTTTTCTTCAAGTATTTTAATTTCTACAATTTTTCACGGTTGCATCAGTTTTATAGAATTCATTGTTTCATTAATCTTAAATAGATAATCAAATCTTTTTCATATTTTGTATCATGTTTGTATTTTAATTTGTTTTTATTACTCGTATAGATGGCTCGATTATTTTATCACAAACCTCAATTCGCGATCCTGGACGAATGCACGAGCGCAGTTAGCGTGGACGTCGAAGACTCTATGTACATGTATTGTAGGAAAGAAAATATTACGCTTTTCACAGTTTCGCATCGACGCTCGCTCTGGAAGCATCACGAGGTATTATTACCACATATCTTTTCTATATAATTTTGCTTTTAGTCGTAGCTTAACTACAACAATTTCATTCTTGTGCAGTACTATTTACATATGGACGGTAGAGGAAGTTACACGTTTAAGCCGATCGATCAAGACACGGAAGAATTCGGATCGTGAATTCTTGCGTCCCTTGCACACGCGAGAATGCGTTTGCATGCAAGGGACATTTAACTTAGACTATGTTATATAGTGTAATAGACGAAATTTTAATGTCTGTGAAAAAAGTGCTATATATATATATATATATGTTAAATATTATATAACATATATTTTTTCTCTCTGCAAAAAAAACGTGTACAGGGTATGTATGTACTATACGAATGAGCACTGTATTGCGAAGCAAAAAGTAAATGACGCATTTTTGCGATCATTTTCAACGTCATCGATCCTTTCCCGCACATAGATATTTAAACTTACAAATGCACAAATTTATATTTTGATCTATTTTTCTATCGATGTTTTTACGGGATGTAAAATGATGTGTTCTTGCTCGTGCTCCGAGGTGAAGACCAAAGATGTTTTTTTTAAATATATATATACATACATGTGTATATAGAATATGTGTAATATATATATGTATTATACACAATATATATATATGTATATATATATATATATATATATATATGCATGATATATAATTATATAGTACATATATTTATAAATAATCGAGTTATTAGAGAATCTAAAGTTCTATTGTAATCAAATCGGAGTACAAGCGAGAATATATTTATTATTGTGTATATATAATTCTATAGTCATACATATAGACTAGTTGTTCTACTGTTAGTGCAAATTTGATTAATTAATTAGTGGACGACGGATATGCTTAAGTTATTCACAATTTCAATAAAGTGAGGATTTGCCAAATGTTTTGCTAAGCTAATTAAAATATATTTTATTATATAATGTAAAGCCAACATTATATAAAAGCACATTGACAGACCGACCGTGATTTAAAAATCAAAGAGTTGTCAAATCGTCATGGTGCTCGCATACGATTCATGAAAAAATGTACAATCGTATGCCGCAGGTTTGAACGAATGTACATTCTACAATTGAAACTCTGAAAGAGTTATATCAAAAATCTGTATATATATGTATATGACAGAATTTGTAGACTTTATTTTGTAAGATATTGATAATCATATTAATGTATTACGTGGGAAAGTGTGCAAAATTGCAATGCGATAAGAATTCGCTACAATAAGAAAAAGTTTATTGTAAAAATTATATCATTACGTTATATGAACTATTGTAAAATTCAAAGCAAAGAAAAATATAAGTATGAAGTACACAAAGAAGATGTTTTCTAGAACTGCAGCTGCAAATTTTGTTCGCGCTTATATAAAGGTAACACAATGCAATACCTTTTCCTTTCTATAAAATTGTTATTTTTGTTTACTAAATTTCTATAATAAGATTGACTTTTTTGTTAGAACATTATCAATTAGCATTATGTTTTACAGCGATTGCAAAGAAACATTCCAAGAATTTATGTGAAATTTAAGATATCGATAACAATTCGCGCGAAGAAAAGAATTAAAAGCGCGTGAAACAAATTCGAACGATTCGCGCTCGGTTGGCTTCGCGCGCTTTTCATTCGCGTCGCTGCAATTCGGCGCGCGTTTGCGCACTCGCGCTCGCTTGCTGTAAAACGGGTTTAGCGACGGCCGGCGGGTCTGGGAATCTTGCAGAAGCTCCGGGAGCTCCGGTTTTCGGTTTCTAGTCGCAGGATCTGTGCGCTCCGAAGTGGATTACGGTGCGTGTCGTGTATACGCGAAAGTGCGCGCGTGCGTCAAAACTGGTTAAAAGGCAGTAGCGGCGGATGTAAGATCAGAGAAAAGCGAAGAGGAACGCCAAAGTACACGGTGCAAGGTAGAGAGATAAAATAATAGGACATAAAGGTAGTGCTACGTAAAAGAAGAGTAGGAGTTCTCACAGTGTTAACACGGACAGTGAGCCGTCGGGAAGAAGACGAAGGTAAGAAGCAGTTATCTCTGCGCCTTTGAGACCCATCGGGTTATTCGCGAATAACCTTTATCGCTTATCGATCGTGCTCCTCAACGACTTCTTCGTGTGTCGCAAGGGACAAGTGTGCGATTCGTCTTCCTCGCTTCTTTCGCTCTTCTTTCGGCTCCCGTCTCTCTTTGCACCCATTTTTTCTCCCCTTCTCTCTCTCCCCTCTTATAATATCCGCGCTTGTTGTTCTCCAATTCGCCGCGTGCGCGTTTCTCGCGACCGCACTCCTACCGGCTTTACGTACCCTCCTTCGTTCGTCAACGGGCTCCGTGCCTGTAAAAGTAGCAGCAGCAGCAGCAGTAGTAGCGGCGGCGAAGGGACGCCGAGCGAGAAGCACAGGTGCACCCATACCAGACGGTCGCGACACAAAGTAACGCGCGCGGTGGGCGGCGAACGCATAAAAAGAGTGCCAGATCGGTGTTAAGCGGGGGAGGAAGAGACGAAGTAGCGTAGCAAGAAGAGAGCGTAGCTGAAAGGAGGGGAAGAACAGAGATCGAGAGACACACACGACGAGCGACGCGGAGCAGTTGCGAGCGAGCAGGCGAACGTGTGTCATCGTCGTTGCTGTTGTCGTAGTATAATCGTCATTGCCGTCGCAGTGTGTTGTGTTGGTTTTTTTTTCACACTCGGTAGTTCATTATCGCCGCTTACAGTGCCAGTCGATATAAATCGCCGCATCGTGGCAGGATGGACGAGACCGCGAGCTCTCCGCGAGCGTCGGACGTGACGTCGGCGATGGGAAGCGAGAGCGAGGAGGCCTCTCCGAAGATGCGGACGGTCGACGACAAGTCGGGCGCAACCTCCGCCGCCTCCTCCGCGCCGGATAGCACCGCCGTAGCACCTGATCACGTTGTCGAGTGTCGCGACCAGAGCTCGATCGGAGCCGTGTCCCCGGGGCCACGCGCCGCTGCCGCTACCTCCTGCTCGACGACGCCGCAGTCGTTGCCGCTGGCACCGCAACCGGGGTGTGGCTGCGTCACGGCCACCGCCGCGGCCAACGCGGTCGACAAGGACGAGATCACCGTGTGCATCACGCCGACTACCGGTGGCCAGTTCGATCTCACGGTGGACCGCAACGACACCGTGGAAAACCTCAAGAAAATCATCTCCAAGAAGCTGAAGGTCGCCAAGGAGCGCATCTGTTTACTGCATCGTGAGAGGTGAGTGTTTCCCGTTTTTTTATTTTTTTAATTTTTATTTTTGTTTTTATTTTTGTTTTTATTTTTCTTTTTTTATTTTTGAGCGCGCGTGTTCAAACAAGAAAATAAAACAGCAAAGTATGTACGCGAAACACCGACGTTCAGTTCCGATGAATCAAAGTTCCGAGAATCTCTGATGATATCCGCGTCTCAACTTTAATCGCAAGAATAGTATATGTAAGATTTATCCTCGTGTATTTGTGCAACGCGAGGTGTCCTAACTCTCGCTGAAGTCATCAGGGATTTTAAACTTTAAAAAAGAATTTGTCGAACGTACCACGCCAAGTTTTTTTTCCGCGTTAAAAGATAAACGAAGCACTCAGAAAGAATAGGTAAATAAGAGATAAGTAAAATACGTGAGCGCGATAAATATATAAATGTAAAAAGATTCTTTCGAATTGTATACTCTAATCATCTTCCGTATGTAGAAACTAATAACAAATACGTAAAACTGAATAAAAAAAAAGATATAAAACTTTGCGAGGATACTGAGATGTGACCAGAAGAAAGTTAAAAAACAATAGATCCAAGACTTTGACAGCAGAAACGATTCAAGTGTAAGATTATCTTTTTACGTTTCCTGTTCGTGGATTAAGACGATTATGCTCCATAGAGCATATTTTGAACATTAAAGAAGGGAAGGTAAGATATTGAGATACTAGAATAAAGAAGAGAGATCCTTATATAAAATAAAACAATAAAAAAAAAAAAAGAATTCTTACAACTACACTTTTATCGTCTTCTTTGTGCTATCGGAATAAAACATGTGTATGCGATACGTTCGTAAAATTAAAACAAAAAAAAAAAAAAGAAAAAGAAAAACCACAAAGGTGTAAAAACGATAGATGAATCATGAGATATTATTGGTCAGCTGAAGCGTTCGTGATATCTCGTAATGTTGCGATACGACGCGTCTCGCGAACTCGTGTTAAATCGTTCGCGATCCTATCTTCGAAGACATCAAAAGCGGAGGAAGAAGAAATGCCCCGACGAAGCGGACTTTACGAGTGGCTCGCTCTCCGCGTCGCTTCTATTTTTCCCACGAGCGAACGTGCATTCGAATCGGATCGGACCTCGCCCCCTTTGCCTCGCTCTGTAAAGAAAGAAGAGAAAGAAAAAGAGTGACGGAGGACGTAGAGGGGAAGATACGAGGGAAGGCAGAATAGAGAGACCCGGGTAGAGAACCGGCAAACGTCTGGCTCGTCCTTCGTGCCGGTGCACTTTTGGACGTGCGTCGGTGAGGAAAGAGAGAGAGAAGAAGAAAAAGAACGTATAACTCGCGGTGCATGTATGCTGGCGGCGTATACCGGGTGTTTCAGCTCGACGAGTCGATACTTCGGAAGTCAAACCGGTTCCGTCGAATGCAAAATCCTCACGCACGAATCCACTTTTTGACGTTTGAGTTATTGACGTCATCGCATTCCACGCCTGATGTATTCGAGACAATGTGTGTACATAAATAAGAAATTTTGATAACATTGATAATGTCGGACTATGGAAAACAGTATTGTGTTCAGCTTGTTGGTCAATCGCTTTTTTTATGTATTGTTTTCGCGTTTCCATATATATATACAAATGTATTTCGTAAGTTAAATGATGTTTTGAAAGTCATGATCTCTTTTTTTTTTTTAACTATTCACTAAGTTCTTACGTTCTTACTGTAAACACATTTTTTAAATAGTATATAGATATGTGATAACAGATTTTCGCGTTCTATCGTTCATAACATCATATTTTTTATTGTTGTAATTTAAATTTCATGTTTATGTGATGTCATTTTGTTTATCTTATCGGTTCTACAAATTTGTGAGATTTCTCTCTTTTTTTCTCCCTACGAATACACCTTTCTGAGATTCTTTTCTTTATATTTATTAACACTTAGGGAGGAATATTTAATAACAAAAAAATTTACAGTGTTTCGGTAGAAAAAGAAAAAAATCAGGATTGAGAAATAAAAACCAAAACATATATATATATATATAAAATACTTTGTACGTATGCATATTTCGTATGTGTGCGCGCCTCATTTTAATCACAATACCCGAAAAGAATTCCAAAAGTCTCGGTGATGCCGGCGATGATCGACGACTCCGTATTATTTCCGATGAAGCCAAGGATCGTCGTCGTTGTCGTATCTTCTCCGAGTTTCGCCGAGTACTGATAACCCCGCGATAGCATCCTCGAGGTATCGACCTATCCTCCTGAAACCGCCTGTATACATGCTCTCGTGGGCGTCTGTGGGGGCCGCAGCGCGGATCCCCATCCACCTCCACCACCTCTTGGTTGCCGCCGCTTCGTGCGAACACGCGAGAGAAATATGGTGGAGTAGAAGGTTGGCGCGCGCGCATACATGTACATACATACACACACACATTTAATAAGAGAGATAGAGAGAGGCGAGAGGTCGGAGGACGTAGCGCGGAGGTGGCTTGTAGTAGTAGAGTAGGTAGAGGATATCTCGGGAAATCGCGCTCCCGTAAAGTGGAACAGTGACAGCCGTCTGCAACGGCGGACGGTGCGAGAGAGATGCACCACCATCGTCGCCGCCGTCGTCGTACGGAACGACCGCGCGGGAGAAGAAGGAGAAAGGAATCTATTTGTTATTCGGGGTAAGCCCCCGGTCGGAATGAGTATGACTAAACAGAAAATCGCAGGAGAAAATTTACGGGAAAAGATTCGGCAAAAGTAACCGAATGTACAAAATGAGATAATCATTTACGGTGTAATAAAGAAAAATAATACATATCACTTTGTCGTTGAAAGCACAATTATTACGCGCACAAAAATAATAAAGACACATGAATTATTTCGGGGAGTAAATTTCCTTTTAAATATAGAAATTTGCAGTCGATTTCTGGTTTCCCATTGTAATCATTTTTTAAATCTACGTTCCGTTATTCAAATAAGTTAAAAACCAGTAGTATAATATCTATCGATACACGTACAAAACGAGCGAGAAGGATAAAAGAGAAAGATCGAAATGATGGGACCGGCTGTACCTCTCTACATTGCGCGAGATATCGGCGGCGGTCGCTTCTTCTTTATTCCTTTCTTACCTACTTGCTTGCTTTTTAGTCGTCGGCGTTTTTTTCTGCTGCCTCGTCTCTTACGTGTCTCGATCGGGACCAGCAAAATTCTCTCGGGATCTCTCACCGTCTCCCGATCTCTTTCTGTCTCCTTCTTCTTCTTCTTCTCTCTCTCGTTCGAGCTTTCACGAGCCTGCCCTCTACTCGTCCGTAGCTCGTTTTCTTTGTGCATCGTCGGGACAGTTTCAGGCGCAGGTAGCACCGCCGGATCTTTTTCCTTCTTCGAACAACAGAAACGCACCTGCGTGCGCGTAGACGTGAGGATGATACTGGCAGCTGTGCCGTGTGCGTCAGTTCAGTCACATCGCGTCGGAGCGGAGAGACTCCGGTCGCGTTTGCCGTCAAGAAAATATTCTCAATAAAAGGTTTATCTTCCTCGCTTCATGCGCTACGTTAAAAGGAGGGTAAAATTTATAGGGCGTGTAACGTTGATTAAATCGAGTGTGAGAAAGAATCGATTTCGTGAGAAAGAGAGAGAGAGAGAGAGAGAGAGAGAGACTTGAGAGAAATTTCGATGACACAGGTGACTTAGTCACGTGCAGAAGAGACGTTACAAGTGTGCAGGGAAAGAGATATATATAAATACTTTGTTATATTATTAAACGTTACGCAAGATAAAGGAAACAACAAATGAGAAAGTAACTTAAATGTCACAACATCTTTCCTTGATATTTCTGCCGAATAACATTATAAAATTGAATTGTTAATAGAGAAATTCGAGAGATAAAATAACATTTGCATACACGCGATATTGCATTATTATTTTGTAACCTTTGCGTTGTGTCATCGTCGTTTTATTACGTATAGGACAAAGATAAAATTAGAAGGTCAACAAGGAAATGGAAATATCAAAGGGAATTCGACGTCATTTCCTGTGCGATTCAAATTAAACATAATAAGATTGGCTTTCGCATCGCGAACATAAATTTACAAAACTTGAAACAACACGCGCCGAAAGATTTGCTTTACACAGCAAGCTGTTTTGTCTCTTTTTATTCTTTTCGCAACACACGTGTGCCTGATGTACGTGCATACAACACGCGAAACTGGTGAATTCGATTCGGTTGACCCAACCTCGTTGCGGGATTCTCCGCGACGTCGTGTTCCCGAATTCCCGTCGGGAATATTTCGCGGCGACGATTTTAAATAGTTGACGCGACAGCCGTTACGATAGCGCGACATTGGTTAGCCTTTGTAACACGACATTGTCACCATTGTGCGACATATTCCGTTCTCGTAGAACGTTGCGTCACGAACGTGATGATGAGAGTGTGTCTTATTCTCGTCGCTTACTCTCTCGTCGTATTTTTGTGTAATAAATATATTATCCTTCTTCTTATAATTTTAGTAATTAATTGAATGTAATTCATTTGAGTTTTTATTTTTACTCTTATAAAGTTTCTCGAGTGTTTGTTGTTAGTGAAGGTTTTAACGTCACGAAGATATTCAGGTCAACGTTTACGCTTGTCGTTTATGGACTTGGAAGACTTCTATTGCAGTCTCTTTAAAGTCTGTGTTGATAAAAAAAAATGGCAAGATACGCTCGATATGTCTACGTCAGTATGCGGTCGATCATGCGGATGTGTCATCGTGAGATTTCTGTTAGTCATCAGGTTGCTCGCAGAAGAAGCGAGTTTGAACGTTCGCTTTTAATAAAGATTGATCATGCGCATTGATCATGATGCGCATTTTATTTAATACCAAAATCAAGAAATTGTAAATAGTAACTTGGTGGTTTTTGTTGAATTTTATTGAAATCATACTATTAATTTTATTTTTTGATGTAGACCGGAATTTTTTATACGAATTCCGAGCAAAGAAGCGTTTCTTATTAACCGCGCTAAACGTGTCGCTTTTATTTCAACCTTCTGCGAA